TGGTCATGATGAATTAAGATTTATCTTAATAACGGTACCATAAAGAACAAGGTTGATTGGTCAGCACTAAAAATAACACATTAGAAGTATTTTGTTGTGGAAAAATTGTAACCACAGGGCTAAAATTTATGGTTAAAGTATCTATTGAACTTCAACAATTCATTTTTCAACATTTTGTGTTGGTTGGCTTGGGTAACATGTCATCATCGACATTGTTTTCAACATTATTATCACCATCACCTTCATGAGCACCATCACCACAATAATCATCAGCATCATCATCACAGTCAGTGGCAGCTCCAGCGTCTGAAAACTGAGGGGGAAGGAAAATTTTAGGGGGGGGGGGAAAGTAGGGCGTACACGCTGCAACTGTCACTCGACTCTAGCATGTATGTTACAAGCGTCATCATAAAGGCTTCCAGCTTTCAGTGTCTTAAAAATAAGATAAGGGAAAAATTAAAACATTGCTGGTATTGATAGTGATAAGTGTAGGCAAAGTGATTGATATGATTGGGGGTGGGAGAGAGAAAGTTACCGAGGGGGAAAATGTCCCCCCCCCCTTGTACACCTGCATCCCCGTCACTGATCACAATCATCATCACTCCACATCAATCAATCACTATAATCATCAAAATCAAACATAATCATCACAATCACTATAATCATCACAATCACAATGACCACTGCTGAAGCTACCACCACCACCATCACCGTCACCATCATCCTCATCACCACCACCATCATCATCAACGTCATTACCATTATCGTCACCATCTTCATCATCATTAACACCCCAGCCACCTTACCTTTAGAGAAGACAGTTCCTCCTCAGTGAAGTTTGACTGCTTAGCCTCCTTCCAGAAATTAATGATCCTTGGCTCCTTGAAACCGCCCCTCTCCTCTTCTGGCATCGTCTTCACGGCCAGCAGCTGGAAGTCCTTATTCAACTTTTTATGATGTAATTTAAGGTCTAGCTCTTTAGCTTTAAATAGTTTTTTCTCATCGTCACTTAGATTGTCTTTTTTACTCCCATGCACTGAATTTGGGCCATCATCTAGAATGATAGAGATAAAAGCATACTGACTGTGTAGAGCTAAACAATTTCTATAATTATTTGAATTGAGTAATTTTTCTTTATTAATTTTTGTGCCTATGCCCCCTGAGGGGGCATAGGCAGTTGAAGATGGCTGAAAGGGTAAATCCGGTGGTGGTGCATGATGGGTCATGTGTCATCTTAAGTACCTCGTCACTGTACAAAAGTCATTAAAAAAAATACAACACCACACATTTCCTGATAACCGAATATCATACTTGGATACTTTATTAGGAAACAATACAGTAAAGAAGGCATAAACACACACTCCCGCTGGGAGCCTATTTTTAAGACTTAAAAATGTTTGGAACCAATTCTATTTGTAGCATATGTAAAACATTCTGAATATGTTACCAAGTTCAATCAAATAGTTTACTGGCTATATTGAACATAAATGACATGTATTACAGCAGAAATACTCCTCGTGCAAATACAGAAAAAGGAGGATAACCTTGCAGTGTCATTAAGCTGAATTACTTATGGGCATTGTCTGTGACTACTGCCGAGAGGTGCTTATAATAGCTTCATGTTTATATCCTTCAACAATGACAGGGGCAGAAATGGACCATAGCATCAGGGTAACCCCCTACTCTTTAATGTGCACATACACCAGATGTGTACACTGGACCTTCCAATTTAAGTCCTTATCTAAAAGACTTGTGTCTACCAACCAAACCCTGGGTGGGAAGCAGCTCAAACCAGCGCCGATGTTAAGGCTGTAGTTAGCAGCGCCCCCTGCCTTACCGCTTGGCCACTCGACTCACCCAGAACCCATGCATATTCATGTATTAAGTGCTATTTGCTGTGTTTTCTTTTTATAATACTGTACCTAATATTGAAGGTCATGTGATTGTGTAAACTTGGGTAGTATGCTGTAATTTGGAATGATGCCTTCATTGCCCTCACACCCCTACACACAACAGGTACTAACCTTTCTTCCCATAGAGGCCATCGACCAAGGCCTGATACTGATCAACCTTTTCTTGATGAATCTTTAATTGCTGCTTCATGATGTTAACTTCTTTCTCATCAAAATGCTCAGCTGTAAGTAAATATTTTAGATGTTTATAGCAGCATAGGTAGCACCAGTTGGGGACAGAGGTCGCCTGAAAGGACAAAAACTGCCCAGTTTTTCCAAGTGATGAAGGGCTTAGGTTGCTGGATGCCGCTTTCCTCCACAAGAAATGATCAAACTTTGAGTCAGACAGTTTAATCCCAGGGGTGGATACAAAATTTTTCAAACGTCCCTTCGTGCCCCCTTACACCCCCCACCCCTTGGATCTTCCCCTGAATCCCCCTATTGGACAATTACTGGCACCACTGTATAGGAGGCCAAACAACTTCTATAATGTGGAGGTGAAACCATCAAGGCTATATGTGTGCTATTATGCAGATTTGACCATCAGCTCAACATTCTTCGTTCCGCAACCTATGGGTTGCAAACCAATGTCTGGGTCACGAGGAAATTTTGATGGATCGTGCAATCGCTTCGGAAAAAAATATTGATGGTAACAAACAAAAGTGCTGACAAAAGAATGCAAACAACTGAACCCCGATGCATGTGAGTTAGCTTGACATTTACTGTGCAAATACAATCCTGTTCTCGTTAACTTTAACAGGATCAATTGGTAAAGTTTTGGATAAAAGTTGAAAAAAAGTATGGAGGCTAAGGCTGGATTTCAATCCTGGTTCTGTATATTCTACGCGAGAATATATATTCTTGCATAGAAGACGAAGCTTAAAAATAACAAAGTTTGATAGAAAAATGTGGGGTCGTCTTATAAGCACAACATACAAATTTTTGGATATTTAAAATCATATTCATCTTAATCTTATGTGGGGATCTTTGCAGGCTAAAAAAGGTTGTGGAAAGGGGATCTAGAGGAGTTAATTGGAGCAAAGTGTTTGTTGAGTCTAAGAGTCAAAAAGACATATGCCTGGATTTTAGGTTATAATTGTTATGAATTAAAGAAATGCATAATAATGAAATTTATAGGTACCATCAAGGGTCTTCCTCCAGAGATCATTCAAACGTTTGTCTGTAAAAGGTCGGTCTTTCGTAGGTACATATGGCTTGTTCGGATTTTCACCTGGTATTATATTATGTTTTTTCATGATCTCTGTAAAAAAGATTAAAAAAAATATTTAATACATTTGAAAAAAAAAAAATCAGATGCTAAAAAAACCCAAAACTGTCAGGCTTTGAAACCAACTGTTTTCTTTAAAAATATGATTTAGTTTATTTAAATTAAAACAAAGAAGACATATAGAACAATTAAAACTACAATAAAGGGGGCTAAAGTAAATGTTCTAATGGTAAATACCAAAGGTTTATGACAATCAAGGAATATACACTAACATCACATTAATAAAGATATAGATTAATACAACCCTAATATATAAATTACCTGTAAGTTTTTTATGCAGTTTTTCGCTTTGTTCTCCTGTGGTGTCACCACCATCTCGCTCTATCTTCTTGAGGTGGGAAACCCTTTCATCATGTTTCAACAAGTCAGCCTTCAGCATTTCTAATTCCTTACCTTTCTTTCCCATCTAATAATTAAAACCAAAGTTCAATTCAAGTATATTAATTCAAGTATATATTTATAAAAGTTAATTATCATTTATAATGAAGAATTATGGTTTTCCCACAGGACTCAATTATGTTTTATGAAATAAATCCTTTTGCGCCCTGCTTCGACCAATACATTTAAGGGCGCTCTGTGTAAGCACTTGCTAGATGCTTGCTAGTCCACTGTGGCAGTCCGAGTGCATTGTTATTGGAAATGATCTGTCTGTGTAATGCTTCATGATGTCATGCTCTGATAGACTTGCGACAGTCTTTCAAGGTGTGAGTTTTTACCGAAATAATACGCTGCCACGAATACGGAGAACATTATTGACAGAGGCAACGACAAATGGATAAAATTATATATTTAAATAATTTAATCTCTCAGATTCTTTCTTTATTATAAAAAAAAACAAAAAACCAAAATTCATACATATACAATGAAAACAAATATATGATATAACATATTTTTTTTTAGATAAAAGGAGGTTGAAAAGAGGCAACTTCATGCCTATCGTGCTCAACATCCTATGAAATCAAATTAATAGATAAATTAAAACAAATGCTTCAATAATAGTAATAATAATGTAAAAACAAGCCATAGAGAAAAATTGAAATGGAAATCGAAGTAACAACCTATTGTTGTAGTAAAAAATCTTTGAATTTGGTTTTGAAGGTGTTTCTGTGTTTAATTTCACGAATGTGTATTGGTATTTCATTGCATATTTTGGTGCCTACAGAGGTAATTGAAAATTGTCCAGTTGTAGTGACTGCTTTCGGCTGATATAAATTTTCCTTTGATTTTTGACTAGTTCCATGTGGATGAGTGATAATAAGTGTAAAATATTCATTTAAATCTTTAGGCAATTTATCATTTAGAGATCAAACATAAAGAGAAACATAATTTGTACAACTTAAAAACATCAAGCATATTCAATTTGTTAAAAAAGGAAGAGAATGAGAGGTAAAATCATTGAATGTTATTGCTATTACTGCAATTGTTTTGAGTAGTATGATAGGCTGTAAATAAGTATATATAATAATGTGCCCATATTACTGTAAATACACAAAATTGCCATTTGATCATTAAACTATCTACAACTTAGTACATCATTATTTGTTACGGCAGTTATGTAAATTTGGGTTCAAATTATAAAATGATTTGGCAAAGCCAGCAAAAACCATGACCCCGCCGAGGTAGACGTAACTGAAAATTTAGGGGCTACTGAGCCATGGCGATGCATTAAGTTTTTACCATTCAAACGTTAGAGATTTGTGACTTGTGTTACGACTTTGAGATTTGAAAGTTCTTAAAAACAAAACGTCGAGACTTTGTCACCGTGTATCATATGTTCCTGCCCCGTTGCTATTATTACAACAATAAAAAGCTTACCCTCTGTGCCTTTTCCCAGACCTGGTTAACCCTAACAGATCGGAACTGAAATGATGACATTTTTCCTGGATTTCTGCCTTCCCTCTTCTTATCTGGCTTTTGGGCTTGGCAACCAACATGAGACATATAGATGAAGACGACGATCAGGAGGGTCCAACGAAAAGTCACCATTTTGCTCATTTTCTTCCTAAAAGGTGATCAATATTTATGTAAAATTTAAAAAAAAATCATAAATTGTAGCATTCATTGATGTTAGTATTTGTTTATTTGTTTTGCATTCAAAATAGTTGATGAAAGGTTTACCTTTTTTTTCTCTTTTGTACAGGAATGTTTTAAACTTTGACTTTATGTTTGACTTTATGGGATTGTAACTTATATAAGACAGTGATTAATAATCACTGTTGACAATCCTTTGACCATGTTAAATGAATAAAATAAAAATAAGATAAATATATTATTATCATTTGATTTTTTTTTTTGAAAGACATAATACTCAGCAAACACAAAACGTCCTTATAACGTTCGTGAAATTTGTGTGTAGGTATGCCACATAATAACATTTACACAACATTGTAAAAACGTTCAAACATTGTGACGTGAAATTAGGTTATAAATGCGCATATGGTTCTACAAGCATTTTTATCACCAAACTGTAAACTTTATTATAAAGTTCTTTGAATGTAATATTGTTAGCTGGGTATCTTGTTGAGTTGAATTAGGCATTCTCCAGGCAAACAAAAACAAAATAAAAATTTTAAGTTTTAATATGCTGGAAACAAAATCTTGCATAAAGACGCAAGGGATGCTGGAATCAATCTCTTGATACATTAGGTGACAGTCGATCGGCTTTAGAAGAAAGTACCATATCCGTATACACTGAACTGGTAGTACTCACAGTGATATCAATTTGCCCAGCTGGGATGGGAGAGGGGGAGAGTCTGGAGAGGTTGTCTTGCATGATCTGATGAAAATTCTGGCTGAGTCCTTATTCGGAAGGGGAAGCCTAGCTAGAGGACGTGGGGCTAAGTTTTGGGTTTTAAACTGGTTTATTTCAAGCACATTATTTTTAATTTGGATTTTTTGTAATTACTTTGTTCACCCTTTAAGGTGTGACGAATCGTGTCCGACGAGGCCGGGTCGGGGAGGGGGATACCACCCTGCTTTCGCCGCCACTGGCTGGTGGTACAGTTTCCTGCATCTTGTTTTGTTTATGGTGATCTGGCCAAGTTTCATTGGTTGGTTCGATTGTGTTACCTAACCACAGTCCACCAAACACCACCAGGCCTGAACACCACCTCTTTCTAATACTGCTCAAACCTAAATGCACGAAACATGGACAGGTATTTATCGGTACAGTATGCTTATTCTCGGATGCAATACACACAAAAGATTACAGTAATTAAAATAAATACAACCTCACACACTACTGTAAAACTATAAACATTACTGTACCATCACAGTACAGTAATAATAAAAAGCACTTACTTTACAGTCCGACTGTTTCCAAAGAACGATCTCTCTGGCGGTATCAATTATCCGCCTGGCGCCCTCAATTTATAACTACTTTTAACTATGGCGCGCTAATAGTTCAACGAACACTTCAGTGACATAGACAATAGACTTCCAAGCCGAAACAAAGTCACGTGAATGAAGGAACATACAGAAGTTGCAGGCTAGTATTTTCTTTTTCAATATTTTTTTTTCAAAAATGATAATTACGATCATCATGGACCCTCAGTAGTGGCATGGGTCCCCTAATAATGGGCTTCTCCAGATTGGATTTGGAGAAAATGTTGGTTGCTTCGGCGCAATTTTTCTCGTGCTTTGCGCTGCTCGTAAATGGGGACCCCACACCAAATCTTGCCCCTGCTACAGTTTTCCCTCTTGGCGGCCCTGAAAATAGCAATATATATGTAGCGGATGTTTACCACTACTTGATAGTAAGCGAACAGTCACTTAATTCATCGTGAGAGCTCGGGTCCCAGTTACGCGCTGCTCAGTCAGTAAGCTTATGCAACCATAAATGAAAACTACAAAATCCTTTCTATGTTAACACAACTATAGTATTTATTAAATATAAGGGGATTACAATGGGGGATTTAAACGGGAACTTAAACTAACCTAACAACTACTCACGTGAGAACAAATTGAAGATAAAACACGATAGGCATAGTCTATTCAGAAACAGTCCAATAATATTAATAGTGTTCGATGATATGCAAACCAGAAGGAACAGCGACGGAATAGAGAAGAAGTCCAAAACAAAGTTATAAAATATAGAAGCGAATCCAACTTGAGAAGGAATGGCAAATGGCGATTCAAGTCAATCATCAGTCCTGAAATCAAAACGTCTATCCGAGGTAACACCATCAAACATCCCATGTCGATCAGACATGGGCCTGGGTATTCCTCCAGCATAAATCTCGAAACTTGTAACAAAAATTATAATACGCCAGCTACTAAACTTTAGATTGGGAACAGCAGCCTACCCGATCTCCATTTAGAGTCAGTTCGATCAGAGTTGGACGGTGTAGACTCTGCCCCATTTAATAGTAGCATTATGTTGGTACAGTACTCTGATGGAATAGCCAAATGGCCAGAGCTACGGCCCTCGGGCTGAGGTACCGCTCTCCTCTCACTGGACTGGATTTCTTTTTGACTCTCAACTCTATCAAACTGCTCAGAGTGCTTTAAAGAAGGATATGACTCCTCCTTGTTCGCGTCTTGACGTATTCCGTTGGTTTATTATTTTTATTAATCATAAGAAAATTTAATTCTTATTGGTTCCTAGTATTGGTTAACACCCCTAAGTCACTTTCCATTCCCTATCTTGGTTCCGGTCATCCATTAAGTTTAGGTGGACAGGACACTTCCCTTATAGGACCAGGAATGTACAATACTCTGACTAAATCCAGGGGGAACAATCTACCAAGAAATAGTAGAGTATTGCATATTCTTGACTATAGAAAATGGAATGCAACTCGGGTTAATAACCTATCCTGTAACTGTATTACTTTAATCTAAAGGGAAATTTAAAAGAATAGCAAAATAAATTAATCAAATAATAAGATTCAAAGGCTTAATAAACACAAAAAATACACACTACTACATCTATATAATGTGAATTTAAACAGTAAAAATATTAACAAGAAGGAACATTGCTTATGTAATAGAATGATCTTACACGGATAAAAAATTTTATCGTACATTAAAGAAATAGAGAAATAAGTATTGCACTTAATATAAAAAAAAAACAGCAAAGAAAAGTTATTAACAAACAAACACTATCCCTAGGTAGAAAATTAATTTTAAACAGAATGCAGTTAGATCTATATACTAATTATGGGAGTGAGGACTATAGAACCTACTATTCTAACACAAGTTTTGTAGGCCAAAATCAACAATCTAGTCCCCATCCAACGCGTGATTATTTTGCGAACAGACCAGGAGTTTTACCGATTATTGTTTATATGACACCAATGACGCTCCATAGTAAAATCATAAAAGAGACACCACCGCCCCAACCAAAACCAATGACCTAGGAAGGAGGCTAAGCCTAGGTCTTGTGTATCCAAGAAGGATCGGTGAAAACAAACTGGTTAACTATCTTGTCATGTAAAGTAAAGGTGTACGTTAAGTTTGTTGAATTTAGAACTTTCTAGCTAGAAGCTTAGGCTAGGTTTAATCCTAGCTATTATGAATAAACCAAAGGATGTACCGTACGTTATGCCTAGCCTAGGCTGGGCGGGCTGGCGGGTCTAGCCTAGCTAGGCCTAAGCATAGCTTGGTAGGCCTAGGGCTTGCATCATTCCGGGTGGCTGGCGTAGGCCTAGCATTGGTGTAGGCTAAGCCGAGGGGTGGACCGGCCGAGCGAGGAGCGAGGAGGTCTTCTGTAGAAGACTCTTGGGAAACAAGTAAACCTAGCCTAGAATCCATATTAGATTTTTGTGTTTTTTATAATACAATATGAATTGAATTCAAGTTAATTTTTAAACATTTTATGGTGATGAGTAGGCCTAGGCCCTTAAGAAGCCTACTAGGGCCTAGCCTATATAATAATATTTTATATTTTTTGAGTGGAGGATCAGGGAGGTATAAGATATAGCCAGTAGACCCTCTAGGCCTAGGCCCCATCCATAGGGAATACCACCGTCGTGTCGTCACAACTCCAGGAGGTGCCCTCATGGCGTTGGTTACCGTTCATTACGCCTGAATGACTTCATAATCTTAATGCTTTAGAATTGGGCTTTCTGGAATAGGCATTCTTAAAACATTTATAAGTACCTAATAATTTACCATCAAAATGTACTAAAAACACAAAAAAATTCATTTTGTCTCGCCAATAGCAACAGAGTAGTATCACATGTTATCGTGACGTAACACTATAGTACTCTATAGGCCTATGGTAATGTTTTTTAATTGTGCGGATGTTACCTAAACAACCAGCTCAATTTTGCACGTATAAATTGCTAGGGAAAAAATTTGGGGTTGGTGGGAGGATGACATATTCCTCGCGTAGGCCTTATTTTACAAAGGCATAGCTGGAGGGCTACATTATTTCTCGTGTGGGCCTTATCAATGGCGGATCCAGGAATTTGAAATAGAAAAAGCTCAGGGCAGGGCTTTCACAGATGAAAGGTCTATATTACCTACACACTGAAAAAATTTTTTTTTGCTCAGAAAATATCTCCAACTCAAATTTGCGCAGAAAACCGCTAGGAAAATAAATGCATGGAATCATAATTATTCCTTTCACATTTGTTGTACATTGAGAGAAGGCCTAATATTTGACAAAAATTGAGCAGATGTCAGCCCTTTTTTCCAAAATATGGGGATGGAATTCTGTGCCTAATTTTTGCTATACTTTACGATCTGGTCCTACCTGAGCCCCACCATGGTTGGGGTTACGTACCGGTAAGTAAGCAAATTATGATTATGGCACCTCTAGATTGTTGGAAATGTCACTCTCAGATTCCAATATAATTTACTTTTTTCTCTTAATTTTTTTAAAAATTTGAATCTGCCACTGCTTATTTTACAGTCCGGAAATCTTATTTATAAACCATAAAAATAATATTTTTCTTTAAAAAATAAAATTTTGCTGGGATTGGGGCTTTAAATTAAATACTGAAATTAGTTATATATCCTCATTTAATTTATTTTTGAATAGACAAGAACTTCTAGTCATGGCCGGAAAGAGTTTTGAGTATACTAAGGTTTTGCAAGGATTGGCATTAGTAGGTGGCAGTGACTTTGAAAGCTGGAAGCATCTGTGTGCGAAATCTGGAAATATACGAAAAGCAGCTTTGGAAGACATTGACAACCCGTTACAACTTATCGAACTGATGGAACGAAAAAATCTTCTCAGTGAAAATGATGTCTCAATGTTAGTGAGTATTATGCAGGAACTGGGCAGAATTGAACAATCAAATAAACTGGTTGAGTACGAGAAAAAATGGGCATTGACGAAGGAAACGCAAACAACAAAATACAATGATTTACTTACAAAATTTGATCACTCATTGAATGACAGTGAAGTCCAACAATTGAAATTTTTGTGTCGCAACTACCCAGGATTTACACCGGACAAGAGAGCTACGATGCAGACTTCTTTAGAAATCTTTGACCATCTGGAACGAGCTATTGTGCTTGATGAAAATGAAACCTCTGTTTTGAAGGACCTCATGAAACAAATTGGTCGACTGGAACTTGCTAAAGATGTTGAGACATACGAAGAGAAGTACCAAGGAAAGTCAGGTACAGTATGACCAACCAATATTTTCCAACACCCTTGTCTGAGTGGTGGCTCCAGAAATGTGCTGATGAGGGGTCCGACATGGTGGTCTGAACCACAGAGCCAACTAGAGCCTCGAACAGGTCCCGCAATAAAAAAAAATCCTGGAAGGGTTCATGGGGGCAGCTTTTATAACTTAATATGGCCCAAAATTGTGTTTTTGGACCACAATATTTGTGATTTGATTGGCAATAAAAATAACATTTTGGATAGGCAAATTAATGTTTATAGTCCGACAGTTTTGTTGTAGCGTCAGACGACCGGGGACCAGGCCTGTTCTACGGGGGAAGTCCCCCACCCCTTGCTGGCACCACCACTGTTCCCTTAGCAATGTATTCATGAATGCTCCCATAGTCTGTGCCTTGAGCACCCTTGGTGGAGATGCACGCATTATAAATAAATTTTATTATTCTATTATTATTATTTAATTTTTAAGTTTTATATGACAATTCATGGAGGAATGAAATAGATTCTTACATGAACAATTTCAGGGCCTGCGATATGACATCATCATGCCTAAACTGTATATCATATGGGCCTGATATTGTTCATTGATACAATGACATACATGAATCTTGCAGAAAACTTTGTCTGGCACTAGGGATTCCTAATATACATAAGTTTCAGTTCTCCCAAACCACAATTTCAAAAGCCTACTAATGCTCTCTGTATGCCTAAAATTCAAATATGCACCATCTTCATGATTTAAATCCGATCCTAATCGGAATTCTGACAGCCTTTCCGATGCGCTTAACACCAGCGCCATCCCTATTCTAACACACTGGTTCCAATTATCTGATCAGTTTCGTAGGCTTTCTGATCGAAAAATTTGAATTTGGTGTGAATACACCTTAAAATCTGTAATTTAGCATTTTTTTTATTCCATGCTAAAGATATTTGATACAACTGAAAAAACCTTGAATTTTCATACTGTAAACAGGAAGTAATGTTTTTTGTTTCTTATTCCCTTCTGTCAGGTCTAATTGATGCTCAGCAGGAAGGCCTTGAAGGTACGTATTATTATTATTTGTTATTATTAAGTCAGGATTTGCTTTTCATTTTGTAAAGTGTACAATATTTTCAAAAATAATAGAATATGAATTCATTAAATAACCTTAATTTGTTTACAGTATTGAAAAAGAAACAATAAGTTCACCACATTCAGTGAATTCTGTGGAATTGCCTATCTAATGTAGAGGGCGAAAATTAGATGGTTTACAGTACAAGCTATTCCTTTTGTTGTAGTGGGATTTGATACACACATCAGTGGCGGATCTACAGTAGGGATTTGAAATAGTGGGGGCCCCAGTGAGGGACTTTCACAGATGGAGAGTATAAACCACCTCAGCCCCATCATGGTTAGGGCTGAGGTAAGAACATTTATGATTGTGGCACACCTAGGTGGCTGGAACTGGCACTCTCAGACCTAAACTTGATTATAATTTGGCCTTTTTTTCTCCTTTTTAAAAAATAATTTTGACAATTTTATGGGGAATGGGCCAGCGAGAACCCCCCCCCTTCCTGAATCCACCACTGTACATTATACCAAGTGCCTAAAAAGACGAACGAATAATATCTAGGGTCCCAAGTTCCTGTAGAAACTGTTGCGCAAGTCAGATGGAGATTTGCAACTCGCGTAGCTAAAACATGTGTACATTACAAGTACACGTGTGTACAAATTTACCGCCATGTGTACTATAGAAACAAAGAGGCTTGAGCATGTTTGGGTCACTGATACATTATTGTGGCCCAGGGTGTTCAATAAATCCCACGTCTGCCTTTTTGTCTGGCCTGATGATTTGGTAAATAAATTTTTTTTCATTTCCATGTTTTTTTTATTAAAGACTTAAGAGAAGAGTTTGACGTAGTTGTCAAATACATTGGGAGGAACTGGCGGCAACTTGCACGCCGTCTCAGGGTCACGGAGGCCGACATTGATTGCATCATGGTGAAACATCCAAACAATCTACGAGAGCAGTCAAGAGAGTCCTTAAAGATTTGGCAGATTAACAACAGAAGTGCAGCCACCAAAGCAGCACTAATAAGTGCATTACGAAAATGCGAGTTTAATTACATTGCCGATGTCATGGAAAAAAAGATTACCGAGTGATACTGAATTAAACCTCATATTATTTGAAAGCTTATAAATAAACTTTATAGGTTGAAATAGAAGGATCAGATTTTTGTCTTGAACCTTTAAAAATTGACTTTAAGGCTTAAGCCGAGCACTTACTGCACCGGACAGACGTCAGCCTGTACGCAGTGCATGGCGTGTGCGCAACGGATCGTTTTTAATGACGATCCGTTCAGACTGCCACCGAAAATCTACAGACGGCATCGTGTCGTCTAGCGCTCACAGGGACCGGAAATCATCGGCAAACGGTTGTTCGACCGTCGTACGATGCAATAAGTGCCTGGCTTTATTTGCACGCTGCATCAATTGATGCAATTTCACGAAGTCCTCAAAGTGTGTTGAGAAAGGATGTTGTACAGATGTCAAGCAACACATCCTCGAAGACAGTTTGTGCAATGATTTCAAACACAAGTTCTCATAAGGAACAAGATGGATTCGTTTTGACATTTGGTTGATACAGCGAAGTCAGCATTTACATCACAGAGTACAGTAGTTGAGAAAATTTTTTGCAAAATAGCATCAACCGGGGAAAATGCTTTAAAGTGTAATTACAAAATTACTGATGATTATGAAAAAAAGATTACAACATAAATATGATGATGAATGGTTTCAGTTTTCTTAGAAATAATAGGATAAAGGTTTTTGTTTCGAAGTTTTAAAAAAATGACTAAAAATATCATATTAAACAATTATTATAGTTGATATAACAACAACAGAAAAATGTCTTTATTGATGCTTAAAGATGGTGTTGGATGCTAAAGTGATTTCATCTTGTACTGTACTATATTTTCTTTATACATTGTCATATTTATATCATCTGCAATCTTTGATCTGACTGATTGCAGTGATTTCTAAAGTTGGGCACACACTTCGCTGGTGGTCGTCGACTGACTCGATTCCATAGAGAATGCAACACGATGAGGCTTGTGCAACAGATCGTTGTTAGTAGGGAGCTTTGTTGGCGCGATGCTAAAACAAAATCTTTCATGCGTGACCATCCTACCGGGCGTCCTACGTTCTCTGCATGCGTAGATTTGACCAAATTGCATCCTAGAATCCACGCGACTAGAAAAACTTATGTTCTCACATGCGCAGATGATTTTTAGTGACTTCGTTACGTTCTACGTCCTACCGTCGCCTCCCTATGATGATGCGCCCAGACCGCCACCCATAATCAGCTAATGGCGTTGCATGGCAAGCACCTCACAGAGAGCAGAGATGGATGCATCGGTTGACAGACAGTCGTAAGACCATTTTACAACATATTATGTGCTCGACTTAAGACTTGTTTATAAGACTTGAACTTTAACATATATTAAACAATTATTAATAAATTTATGAAGCTATGCAGTACAAGGAAACTCTACAAAATTGGATAATTAAAATCAAATGCATGTAAATGTTTTTTAGGGGAATTTTGATTAATTTAATGGTGAACTAAAATGAAATTCCGAAAGGACAATTAAGTATATTGATTAGTCTTCGACTTCTTAAATTTCAGTGATTAAATGTTCGTTACAGTATTCTATCATGTGAAACAATTAATGTAAATAAACCGATTTAACACATGCTGTTCCATTAAAAAATATGTAATAAGCAATATAATATGTTCAACCCTACGTCGTGTGTGGTGGTCTGTGGGTGGTGGTCTGTGGGTTCTTAGTTTGATTCCATTGTTTCAGTTGGATAACTGAAATACAAGTTGCTATAGCAATTGTTAAAGATAGTAGTTGTCAATGGACCGTTTATAGCACTGATGAACTTTCGGCCTACTGTACACGACCGTCAAGAAATTCAGGGAACAGTTTGTAAAACAAAGAAAACCTAAAGATACATTCTAGAAATTGAGCTCTTACAGGCAAAAAAATTGCCAACACTCAGACTTTTCTAGCTAAAACTTTGCAAGTATATTATACTATGAAAATGAGTAAATGCACAATAAGATTAAAATGTTTATCCTGATTGTAGAAGAGATATATTTGCAGAAAAACTATAAAAATAATATTAATTACAACTTATTGTATGCTGTGTCATAGTGAACAGGACTATTTGACCTTTGTGCACATGGGCCACTAATAATTAGTGCATGGTTCAGGTGGTAAAATAAGATTGGTACTCTTATTATTTTCTCGGAAAATATATTAGTTATCTATTAATAATTAAGCTTTTATTGCATTTTTGCATTCAGATGTTTTAAATGTTGAAAAGTCTTTTTAATCATCTAATGATAATCAAGTTTTTATAACATTCAGAATGTTTTCTTTGTTAATGTGTTTACCCAATATACTTTTAACAAACTTTAATTTCTTACTTTGTATATCTAAGTTAGGTTTAGTAGCTTCCAATTGAAAATCAGAATAAGAAATATTATCATGTTGAGTTTTGTGTAAAACAGTCTGGAAACTGAAATGTTTTGATCCATTTTTTGATGGTCTTCATTGGCGGTCCAGGAATTTGCAATAGAGGGGGCCCAGAGAGGGACTTTCACAGATGGAGGGTCCATACTACTTCAGCTCCACCATGGTTGGGGCTGAGGGAAGGAAATTTATGATTATGGCACCTCTAGAGGCCGGAAATGCACTCGTAGACTCAAAATTTGAGTAAAATTTTCTTTTTTTCTCAATTTGTTTTTAATTTGAAAAATTTAGGAGGTGGGGCATGGGGTGCCCTGGACCAGCTGGACACCCTTGAATCCACCACTTGTCTTAGGATGCAAGATGTATTGTCCCTTTCAAAATTTAGTAGAAGTAAAATAAAAAATGATCTACTTAAGCATAGAAATTAGTGTAAGAAATGTCTACGCTTAATTTTACTGCGAAAAATGATAGAAGCACTTCCAGTCACTGGAATTGTTAATATTATTTTTATTATAATTTTTAAAAATCAGGGTACACATTTGTTTACTTCAGTAATTTCTATGCTCGAGTTAAAAATGTGTACATCACTGCAAAATGAGCAAGTTAGGCCTACCGTATTAACTCGCCTGACAGCAGAGTTTGAGAAGATTTTTTGATGATTTTTGTATGTCGGGCGTATAAGATGACCCCCATTTCACCGTCAGAATTCATACTTTCTGCTGCTTTCTATGGTCTTGATACTGCATCCAGCTGGCTAAAAACGGAGCTATATTTAGGGCTAATCTTCCAAATAATACCATTTTATGAGATTTTAAATGTTCATAAAAATCTCATTTCCCTGTATTTTAAAATTGCATTCATTCATACTAACATTTTAGTAGCTTAATTGCAGTTTAGTAAATTAGCATGTTACAGACGATCCGCACAAAAGACAAACATGATTTTTAAAATCTGAAATTTGTTATGTTGCGCATGTAGGCATACATGCCAAGTTACACTAATTTGCAGGAGCGATATATTTGTTCTAAAAAATCCCCCCCCCCTCCTCCTGAAATGTATTCTTTTTGCCACTTTTTGGGTGGTATTTTTACAAATGAGAATCTAAGAATCAGCATTTTTCTTACGATTGATTTTTCTGTCGTGTCCTATCCCACTGACACAAGCTGCTGTCATTGTATTCTCTAATGCTGTTGATGCTGCTAGTTTGATCTGATTAAAAAACTAGCAAGAGAAGTTTTTATCTGACATGATTTACTCTTCCAGAAAACTGTAACACATGCAACGTATTGCCCGGCCCGCTATATTCTAGGCAGCTCAATTTAATTGGTTGAGCGTTTTACTTAAGATAGAAAGCAAACTCAACTCAACCCTGGTGTAGTGTGCCATTTTTAGTGTGTAACAAAACTAATCCTATTTTAAGTACAGCTTATGATTTATATTTAGCGAGATGACTACAAATTAGATATTTTTTTAATCATAGGCAATATTACCCTTAAGCGCGAGAGCGACCTCAAATTTTAAGCAGTGTATGGTGTTAGACGATCCCTGTTTTTCAATCATAATTTGCTATTTTAAGCCTAGTATATGCAGTCATTTTTAGGGGACAATATGTCTTCTGTTTTGATTATCTTACTTTGTTGAATGTGATTTTTACATATTCATTTTTTAAGAATTGATCTCTAAAATTAACTGAGGGTACATATTTAGGCGATAAAGTTAATGCTATATTATAATACGCTATGCAGTTTACACAGAAATAATATAGGGCAACAACCTACATATACTGCTCTGTTGCACAAGTGGTTCAAAATTTCATCCTTGTAGCATTCTCATTTTCTAATGGCAACATTATTTATGTGAATAAAAGAGATGGATTTCTATCAGATTTTGTGTTTTGAGTATTGGATAGTCATTCTGTCTGCTACTGCTACCAATCACTATTGGTTGTGTTGCATATCATGTCAAATTGCAACTCATATGCAGGGGTCCGAAGTTGGAAGAAGTAATTACCAGGATTCTTCCATGGTTTAAATGAGCTTTCTTTGCACGCATAATTTTATTTTGGCAACACCCATCGACACATGATACTAAAGGGGCAACACAGTAGTAAAAACTTGCAGATTTAATTACATTGTGAGAGGCCGTCCAAATTTCAGAAGAGACTTGGAACTCCTGCATATGGCCAAGTGGTTAAGCCCAGGTCATCGCAACCTACAGCCATAATATCCGCGCTGGTTTGAATGGCATGCTTACCTGTGGTTCTGGTGGTGGAACATGAGTCTTCTTGGATAAGGACTACAGTATAAACCGTAGGCCCAATGTACACAATTAGCTCCTGTGCACTCAAAAGAACCCAGTACATCTTTCGAGACGAGTATGGGGTTACCCAGGTGTACTGGTGCAAACGACCCTGTGCTTACGGACTAAGTAGGACGTACCTACTTAAATGTAAACATGTACTATTCACGGTGTAACTCCGGGTGCATGGCTACAAGTCTTATTGTAAAAGCCTATTGTACATTGTTCATACACAACTCATTTTTTGAAAATTATGGAAACAACTGCGTATGAAATAGTTATGGAAATTACTTAAAATTCCGTTTGATTGTTTTCTGGGTCCTGCAATGTTCGAAAATTTTGAGACCCTATTGGAGCTACCTTGGTTGATTAATGGATATTCATGCAATTTTTTGCAATGTAGGTAGAGTATAAATAATTTATCACTAATGCGAGCTATTACTGTGCATTTATAACGCAACTTTCAGTTGTGAAGCTAAGCATTCATTGTCAAAGAACTTTGGTTGTTCATTTTAGTTACAACATATCCCAGAAAACCTCATGTACATTCCATTAGAGCATTAGCAGTATGGACATGAGACAAAGCAAATCTGCTTTCATCATGCTGATATTTTCCAACTCTGACAGCATTGTACGATACGATGTTTAAAATTCTACGACGCGAACATCCCGATGCAGACCTATCGCGTCAGCGTTTAACTCGCACAGACCAGACATGACAACAAATCGCGTCAGACTGCATCGTACAACGCTGTCTGAGTTGGCCTTTAGACTTGTACACCTGAATATTACAATAGCAACAAAGTAAATCTGTGGCATAACTTGAGTTTAATAATGATAAAGCCTAACAAATACACCCATTATAATGGAACATAGATGATAATTCTAAGATGCCTCATACATAGATCTCCACTACTAAATCCAGGCCCATACTTTACTGGTATAAAAGGAAAAGTAAAGGGGAAAGGAATAAGGAGTTCAATTTCTTATTTTTTTTTTCTCTTTGACCAATATCGTCGGTCACAATCTCTTAATAAATCTACATTTTCTTTCCTCCCAACTTTGCACAGAAACAATTTCTTTCGAAAAAGAATTTCTCAAGCAAGATAACTTTGATATATAGCTTGGGTAATTTGAATCAAAAAAGGAAAAAAAAAAAAAACAAAAAAAACAAAAACCAAACAATGGATCAATTGCAGCTTTTCCGATGTAAACATATACTGTTGTACACCAAATTCAATTTAAGATACTTTAGATTAATAACACGAAAACGAGTTTGTGCACCATATACATATACATGGTTGTTTTTCTTTCTGCAATAAATGCACAATTCTCCGCCTACCACAATAGCATCATAAACGCAACAATGTACAGTACAACCGTATGCATATTTTTTTTTTGAGAATAACTTCCGATAGACACTAAAAAAGAAATTGCCTTTTCAGTCCACAATAAGACATTGTATCTCATAATTTGATACTGTGGAACCCTTTTTTTGCAAGGAGGTAAAACAAAAATTCAACTCATGCACAACTCACTAGTAATTACCAACTATTTTATAAGGAACAATTCATATTATCATGGTTTTTAGAATATCAAAATCCAAATGTGCTCCACTTATGTATCTTTTTTTCATAGGAATTTAACAGCTTCTCAAGACTAAACAACTAAGAGCCTCTGTGATTGATCAGCGATTTCAATCACATGGCGGTTACTATGGGGATAAAGTTTTATTTAAAGAAATGGGGTTTGCCACACGATCAAAATTGTTTATCATTACCATGATTAATTCAGCCATAATGTAATCAGAATAGCAGGAATTTTAGTTGAGGAAACTTGGGGGGGGGGGGTTCCAAGTACAGTATTACTGTTTTAAACTTGGGTTTCCGGCATGACACCAAAGGGGAAGATAATTATGGTTAAGGTAATAGTTATGGTTAAACAAAATTAGTTATTTTAACTCAATGGTCTGCAACGCAGTATACGAAAATACCACCACGGTTTATTGTATTAAACATTGTCGACTGGTAGCAGAGATTTTGGAGTAATCAAACATACCGCCGTATACAAAACATACCGATTTTGGAGTAATCAAAACATACCGCCATGGTTTCATGGTGTAAAATACCAATGTGGACCAAATATGAAAAGTTAAACTTAAATGTGTGCAATGCTTTAGGTGCACCATGGTGGGAGGATCACCATGGTTGGTTAACTTTGTATCCTGCCGAAAGCACCATGGTGAGGAGATCCATGACATATAAATGCATTCTTGGTCTTGTGCCTGGTATAAGCAAAGGATAAATGAACATGTCCCATCGTGGATGCTGGTAGAGGTGGTAAACTTGATTTTGATTACATGGTCTACTTATTTTCAAAGTATTAAGCCCAATCACTCCACACCTGAAATAAACAACAACAAAAAATAATTATTTTCAGTTGATATACATTACAAATGGCGAGTTGAATAAAAAGAACGGTTAAGACGGGCATCGCTACGTACAGACATAATATTGGTGGTTGTACTTACATTTTTATCTGGAGCATCTGCAGAACCACTGCTCCAAGCTCCAAATATTGAATTTGATGTCTACAAGGATGAAAGACACAAATTAGCACAAGTGAACTTATACATAACTTAATATTTTCTTTTATTTTCTCAATTGGCTTGAAAAGAAATACGAAAATACCAACACGATTTTATGTACTACAAAATAACAAATGGTTTATTATTTTAAAAAAATGTATTTGTTGGAAACACAGGTGAAGTATATGAAGGGAAAGAAACAAAAAGAAAAGCCATCTAAGGGAACTAAAATTATTAATTGACACAATGCTCTTGGACCCAAATATTCCTAGCTTACCATCATAGGCGTAGTCATGTGGAATTCTCCGTCTATATTTGTACGGCGTCCAATAACACCAGCACAGTTTATCTTGTGGTTTTCCAGAAGGCTCTCATCCATGGGTGATGGGGCCGTCTGCAGCCAACTTTTACTACCATCCCCTATGTTAGCAAAATATTTTAAAATATATTAAAAATGGCGAAGACCTGTAAAACTCTTTAGATATTTAGCAAGGATGTGGTGTGCACATGCTTATGGGATACAGTCATCTTTCACTGTGCCGTTGGGTATTTCTTCACTGCCTGTGTATGACTTATTGCACTGCTTTTAAGGTGGTTTTAATTCACTTTTGTGAAGAAGATGGTTTCTGTTTATGTTCGTATACTGCACTAAACTTCAGAATTGAGTAAAACATGCAAGTGCTGGTGTTTTTCGACATGCAGATTCGTCAAGCAAGAAGTTAAAATTCTGGGATTTAAATTATTTATATCCATAGGATTTATATTATTAGTGTGAATTTTAGCAGGAATATCTTGGTTAGTCTGTGTAACATTTGTTCAGCTTGTCTTGTACGATTCGTAAGTACAAGCAAAATTTAAATTCTTTTGTACAGATATAGGATTAACTATTTCAACTCTATTTGGTCCTCTTCAGGAATGTTATTTTTGTAATGCAATGAAAAAATCTTTGCAGACAATCGAATTGCACTGAACACAAGAAAACTTACCAGGTTTGTAAGACCAAATGTTGTTTACTGACTGGCAAGTTGCATTGCCATGTTCTGCTGGCGGCAGTGTGGGAAAACCAGTTGGTGTTCGGCGCTGCTGATGTTGACTTCGTTCTGTACCTATTGGACGGAGCTTTATATCCTGAATGGATAACCCGCTCGTATCGGATAGAACTGGGCTGGATGACTCCGTACTCGAACGTGGAGAAGCTCCCGGTGACCCGTCCTGTGACGTACCGCTGTGTGTTGGCGACTGCATGGATGGTGTTATTTTCACGGGCACAAAAGGCTGCGCATTGACATTCAGTTGCGACCTTTCCTGAAGATCTCTCGGACTGCAAGGGCTGGTTTGAGATGGTCCGGTGTACGATTGTGGAAACGGTTGGGAAGTCGGTGTTGGAGCCACAGGGAAGCTGTTTGGCTGTTGGCGGAAGGCGGCTGAAACAGGCATGCTGACTCTGGAGGCTGGATTACTAATTATTGAACCTGGTATAACTGAATTACGAAGACTGGATGATATAGGAACACTGACACTACGATTAAAGCCTGGAGCTTTCGCTTTTTCTACAGCATCCGTGGGGATCAGTGTTTCAGTTAGTGAAAGAGGTGTGCCTTGTTTAGGTTGAGCTGGCTGGCCAATAGGACCTACCCTGAACATATCGGGTGAAAAGAGGTTGTAAGTTCTTGGAGCAGTGGTGGTTACTGTGGCAGCAGTCGGAGTTGAACTTCCTTGAATAGAAACAGAAGTAGGGCGGCCTATAACCTGCTCCGTGAAGTGCTGATTAGGAGCACCAACAGTTGGTTGTATCAACGAATGGTTCCCAACATGATGCGATGGTGGTGCATGACTGGCGGCAGCATGAGGGTTTCTGACAGGTGCTTCCGACATTCTACTGGAGAAGTTCACAGGTGTTTGCATCCCAAGTGCCTGCATGCCAGGATGCCTTATAGGGATGCCCGTGCTCGGGTTATCCCCAGCATTAGGCATGTGCTTGGTCTCTAATGGGAAAAGCTGGCGTATTGCAGAGCTATGTCGGACTGGCGGGAAAGGTGGAGTGATCCCCGGCACCGGAGGCCTCACCATTGAAGCTGATGTTGGATGTCGCTGAAGCATGGATGGGCCTGGAGGATAACCAACAGGAAATGGATTTTGGGAATGCATCTTCGGCCTGATTCCTGAAGAGTTTGGCAAATCCATCCCATGCAACGGTGTCACTCGGCTCTGACTTGTATTCGAATGGGAAATAGAATTAATCACCGAGTGGGACGATGTGGAAACTGTCATTTTTACAGATGACATGTTGTTTCTTACACTGCCACTTTTGAACTGTGAACTTGGAGTTACCGAGGTTGACACACGTTGAGTGGTAGAGGAATACGTGCTGGAGTTGCTGCGAGCCACGGAGGATGTGATAGTAGCGGTGATTACTGAGGTATTGTGGGATAAATGAGCCTTTTTAAATTTTGGTATGATCTCGTCCAACTCCTTGTTAGGATCTTTTATAAGGGCGTTGATCAACTGGTGGGCATGTCGGGTGGAATCTGCTGAGCCCCTGTTGATAAAATGAAAACAAATCATTTATTTATTTAGGCTCACAACACATGCACCAAGGATGGTAAATAGGGAATATATCATTGTCCTACTTGTAACTATCTCTTTCACAAGACAAATATAGACATACGATACTTTACACAAATTTCAATATCATCTATATGGAGTGGAGTTGTTTTGGTCGTGAGAAAAAAATCCTGCAACACTGACAGGAATTGAATCCAGGAAGATGGGATTGGAAGGCAAGCATCATAACTATTGAGCTTTTCAACTCCAATCCAATTGAAGTTCTTTCAATTAAATATCATTCCAAAGTGGAAATACAAAAGATTATTTCTTAATGGTTCAAGCTAGTTATTCTATTTCAAAATTCTATTGGATATGTATTGAATTTATTATCAGTATGGAAAACATAAAACTTACTTGATATTAATAGTGCGTTCACCTCCTTTATTCTGCTTGTCAACATCAATATGTGCGCCAGTAACTTCACGAATAGCGTTGATATTACATCCGCCTCTGCCAATCACACGGCTTATAGCTGAAGCTGGAACAGCAACTTTCTTTGATCTGAAATTTAATAGAGGGAAGTATTTAGTAATGTGTTTCACTCATTATATAGGCACAATATAATATCCCGAAGCATGTGGGGCAGTGTTTCTGACTTAAATGCTTGACCGCAGTTAAATGGGTCACTGATAGACTAGTGAATTACTCAATGCACAACAGGACACAATGTGCTCAAAAGTCCACGAACCTAGCCACCAGGTATCTTGGAAAATTCTGCTTTATATAATATATATATATATGAATTAAAAAATAAAAATGGCTGTAAAATGAACAGGTTTCTTTTAACAATTTACCTCCGTACAACTTCCATCCAGCCGTCATCCCTCCGTTGTCCTCTCTTAGGACTCAAGATTAAAGACGGCGCTGATTTGCTTCCCATAGATGACACTAAATTATTTTCTCCCATGCGTGCATTCTTAGTCAATGAGATCGGCGTTAAACCATTGTAATCCTCGGACACCCTGAGAAAAATTCCAAACGATTGATTCAATAGCTAGAAATGGTACAATGAATTTAATGAAATCATGTACCTGTGCTACAACCTCGTACATGATACCATAGAGTCTATTGAATACCAACAGGCTTAATATTTAATTACATAATAATCTATGTATTATGTAATTACATAGTTAATTACATATTAATCTATGTATTATGTAATTATATAGTTAATTACATATTAATCTATGTATTATGTAATTATATAGTTTATTACACAATAATCTATGTATTATGTAAATATATAGTCAATTACATAATAATCTATCTATCTTGGCTGTAAATTTACACACTCTACAAATACAATTAGATATATTTTACATTCACACAACTTTCATTGAGTTATTACTCTGTTACCAGCCTCTTTTAAGGTCTGTCCATACTATTTGTGTTTCATGCGACAAAAACTAGGTGATCTCAGGGGTCGTAAGTTGGAAGAAATCCATTCCGTGAGATCTGTTTAAATGAGCTTTCTTAACCTAATCAACGTTATATTGCTGCGAATGGTGATACCCATTGGCACTGACTTCCATGAGACAACTGATATTAGTAAAAACCTGAAAATATTGTGAATTTGCGGGGAGATGGGTTGTTTCCCGGAAGCTTCTTGCTTGCTTGCAGGAGTCTGTCTCTATTTCCTGAAGCCTCCCGCGACTTCCGGGAGACTTAATAATAAGACCTGGGCTTCTTTTTTTTGCAAACTTTAGATGGGCTTTGTTTTGAGATGGGCTTCTTTTCGAGGCATTTATTTTGAAAAGAAGCCCTTCTTTTTAAAATAAATGCTGTATTATTACTAAATAGGACTGTAACATGAATCTGTAACATAGAGTGTATTAACTGGCACTAAATCACCTAAACTGCTGTATTGCTGTATAAGCTGAGCACGTTTTTAATTTATTCTGTTTCTTTGAAATTCATGTACAGTGTATGTACTGTACTATCTCGAAAAGAAGGTCATGTAATCTCGAAAAGAAGCCCATGGGCTTCTTTTTGAGGCTACATCTGCGCATGCGAAAACGTTAAGGTCACCTAGTCGAGTAGATTCTGGAATGCAATTTTGCCAAATCTACGCATTCAGAGAACGTAGGATGCCAGGTAGGACAGTAACGCATGAGTGATTCCGTTCTAGCGTCGCCGCACAAATCAGAAGCTCTCTAATGCTATTTTGAACTTTGAATCATAGATGACAAAAACACTCACATAGGTTTTTCCATATGCCTATTACTGCTTGCTTTCATATCTTTCGATGGCCTTTTTCTCCTTCCCCTGTCATTTTTACTATGCTCCGTGGTTGCCTTATAGTGCATTTCTTTCTTGGAACTTTTCACTTTATTCTTTTCGTTTTTCTCACTCTCTTTGGTGCTTGCGTCTACTGTCGCCGTCATTACTCGAGTGACAGAAGTTGTTTTGGTGATAGCTTTCTCCTTTCGGTTGCTCGGCTGGGCGGCTATGGTATCCGTGGTTCTGACTTTACCAATGGTCGTGGTGGTGGTTGCACTAGGAGGTTCTATTGGGACTGTTTCTTCAACTAAAATAATAAAATGATGAGAAATCAAAATAATGTACTCAAAAAGCACAGACACTTGTAGAGCTTGATGGGCGTGGACAAATTTCAACAAATTCCACATATGGAGCCACAAAAAAAAAAAAAAGGTTTGCAGTCAATGGATGCAGATTTGGACATTTTCAATCACAAGTGGTATTTTGACTTTGGATTGACCCTTAAGGATTGGACTACAGTTGTTCTTTGTTTTTCCCTTATACGTGTTCATTTGTTTATTTTGTATCTGTAGGGAGCTAGCAGTTGACGGACTCCGTGTCTGTGCTAGCTCCCCATCTGCCTCAAATGTATTTAAATATTTTATGTGACTGCAATTTTATGCAAGGCTATTTGAAATTGAATAAAGAAAGAAACTGAACTGAATTCATTCATGCGCAGATGCCTACAGTATGCCCAGTAAAAAACATGCCTTAACCAAGGGTCTCAGACTTGTTTGTTACACCACTGTTAAGGTTTTGTTTTGTCTTCTTGTTTGTTTATCTACCATTCTGGGTCACATTAACAAAGAGTGGATTGTGCTAACCTTGCGAAAAGCTGCCATCAAACAGGACACTTTGCGATTATCTTGACTATCAATATCAGCTTTGGCATTTACCAGGAGTTGCACCACCTCCAAATGTCCACCTGAAATGACCAATCAACAAATAAAAGTCAAGCATAAAAAAACACAAGCTATTCTCACTTTCTAGTGCCTTCCACATTCATTTTGTTCATTCTAATTGCATGGACGCACCACTGAACTGGTCTGTGCCACTGATTTGAAAGCAAGTATCAATATTTAATACACTGTACAAATTGCTGATTGGGTTCAATTACCAAATTCATATCAATTTATCAACAGTTTTTGTGACGTTTTCTAGGAAAGTCTAGATGCAAACCTCATAGCGTATGGTATGTAAATAATTTTCCTCCTAACCACTGCTTGAGTAGTGTCATTTCCTTTGCATTAGACTGTTCTTTACTAAATGTTCAAGATATTACAATACCTTAGATAAGTTAGATTTGATAGGTTTAATAGTGTTCAATGTTTATAGGTCTACAACAATAATTATATTCAAGACCTCTGAGGAGATGAGGTAATTATAATATTGAAACACACATTTTTAAGGCAAGAAATTATTTTAAGATTTATTTTGAACATACCATTGCATGAAAGCCAAAGTGGTGAATTGCCTTTCTTGTTTTTCGCATCCACGAGGGCGCCATATTGTAGGAGTAGCTCGACAAAGCGGTAATGTCCTTTGTCGGCTGCAATGGTCAACGCTGTATCTCTTGACGATGGAACCGGTGCAGCATTCACGTCGGCGCCTTTCTCAATGAGAACCCTGCCAACGTCGGCATACCCACCAGAGGCAGCTTCCATTAAAGGCGTCAGGCCAGTCTGACAAAAAGAAATTTTGATTAAAGTGTTTATGTCGCTTATTTTTCATTTTGTTTTTTTCTTTTGTCTCCCCTTTTCACTATCAGCCACTATCAGTAACAACATGATTACTTTTCAACACAAACTGTACTGTCTACAGGTGTACCCCAATGGTTCTAACAAGCTCCTTCTGCAAGTGACTGAGTGCTTGTAGAGCCAATGTTGGTAGTATCTAAATGAGATAATATTCCAAATAAATGCCCTCCCGCTTTCCTTAGCAACTTCTCATTTAGCATGCTTGGGCCAAGCTATTCTACTATGTTTGGAGTAAGTTCAATAAAAGCAAAGTTGTCAATCTTCGAGTCACATATTCACAAAACAAACATATCTCTTTGTCTATCGATTTGCATTTTCGAAAATAATAACAAGGGGGCATCTTTTAAATTACCTTAGCCCTGTGTTCCACGTTGGCCTTGCGATCCACAAGCAGACTAACCACCTCCGTACGGCCTTGGAAGCAGGCTAGAGTAAGCGCCGTATTGCGATTAGTTTCAATCTGCGCATTGATATCACTTCCCATGTCTAGCAACAGCTCTACGGCGGCTGTATGGCCGTTCATAGCTGCTAGCATCAATGGTGATATACCCAGTTTACTTCCGGTTCTGCATAAATAAAAAAAATTCAATTCAATGGGTGTATTACATGTTTTTGATATTATTATGGTCATCTATCCCACAATCTTAACATTATTCATTCAATTTACTTTATTTCAACCATGGAACCGTACAATTACTATGATCATTTGGGATTGCAAGGGGCCCCAAGTCTCCCAGAACTTGCGGTAGTCTCTTAGAAATCGGGACAACCTTCCGCACTCCTGCAAACAAGCAAGAATCTCCCGGAAATAACCCATCTCCCTCAAATTCATAGTATTTACATGTTTTCAATGTTTTTATTATCAATTGTTTCATGGAAGTCAGTGCCCATAGGTATAACTGTGTGCAGAATATTAAATTATATTTGTTAACAATGTAATAACCACTGCAGACCAGTGGAGGATTCAAAAGAGAGGTCTTAATTTTTTTCCAAATTATAAAAAAAAAAAAAAAAAAAGAGGGAAAATGAAAATTATATTATCAAATTTGTCTTAAGAGTGTCATTTCCAGCAATCTAGAAATACCATAATCATAAATTTTTTGACCCCAACCCTACATCTGTGAAAGTCCTCCCTACCACCCACCCCCCACTCCTCCTAACTTTGAATTACTGGATCAGCCACTGTAGATCTCCAAGAAATGACTTCTTCCAACTTGGGACCCCTGGGAGTGTCAAAATATCAACAATATTAATCTATCGTACTTACCTTGAATTAATCTCAGCCCCATGTCGTAGAAGAAGTTTAATTATTTTCACATAGCCACCTGATGCAGCTAGGCTGAGAGGAGTATAGTCGGAGACATTTCGATGCTCTTTGTTAGCACCACGGGATAACAACAGATCCACAACCTGAGCAAAATTGCAACATAACATTATAAATAAACACATATATTGTAAGATGCCATTACAGAGTATTACACTATATGATTTAAGAGCAAGGGATTTCTATGAAATTTATTCATTGATAAGAAACGGTACCAAAATATTTCAATAATTTTCATTTAAAAGCAGTAATTTGTAATAGAAACGAAACATTTTTTAAACACAATCTGATATGTTAACATATGTACTTTAATAAACCATGTGTTAAATTATGCTAAAATGTACCACTTAAAATACTTCATAATAATAATAAATAATAAAGTTCTTAACCGTTCTGAATAAACAGAACAAGTCGCTGTCATTGACTACCACAGTAGTTGACAAGCTTCAACAGTGCAAAACAAAAGAAGGTCCCTAGAGGGGGAAAATATGTTAGCTGACCTTATATTTCACTTTCACGTTCCTTGTTTTTTTTTTCTATTTTAGTATTAGCTAACCGTCTAATTACTTACTTATCTTCTCTTTTACTTTCATTCTATGCTTCCTTACAATAGGTATGATCACAATTTAACATTAATCTCTGATTAAGGACAAATTTAAATTTACTACCTAAAAGGCACACCTACATCAGAGGTCCAACTATGCATCCTAGCTATCTGTAAACCCTACCCTGACTGACTTATTCATATTGGAGGTAGTGTCGTCATACCAATAAGGTCCCAATTACCTTATTCCCCTTCCCCCAACATAACTAAGTAATCCTTTTATCATTGTACAAGAGACTTGATCGAAGTATATACTCATAAAGATGCTTACAGCACATTCTTTAACTTACATCGTATCTTCCACCAGAGCATGCCAATGATAGAGGGGTGTCTTTGGTCCGTTCCGATTGCGCTTCAATCTCAGCACCGTGATCAAGGAGGAGTTCGACAGACCGGGTGTGGCCCGCTGTTGCCCCGAGTATTAATGGCGTGAAACCTAAACAAAACAAGTCACATGAAAACGTGCAAGTCTAGTATAGCACATGGGAAGATATACTAAATACTTAAAAACATTTTAAACCATCATTATAATAGCCAGTACAGGTAGGTTATTCTGATATGTAAAAATAAAATGTACCTTTCTTATCCCTATGCTCCAAGTTTGACCCTTTCTCTAGCAGTAACTTAATGACCTCGTCATGGCCGCTAGCACATGCTATAGTCAATGCTGTATCGTGGTTGCTTTCGGTGCGTGCATCGATCTCGACCGGAGCGTGGAGTTCAGGGGGTGGAACATTACCGTAGTCAGCTGGTGAGGCCGGACTGGAGATGACCTTTGGTTGAGGGGTTGGCGGTGCAATTGGAGGAACTAAATCACTGGTGATGGTGGGGTAGCCACACTGAGTGCCTACTGAGTGGGTTACTGTCACTGGTTTTTTGATATCCTCTTGACACTCAGCATCTGTGTAAAGACACACAATACATTAGTATACAAATAATGAATGTTTACGAGCGCAATGGGAAGAATATTTCATGAGTTGAAAGACTGACTGTTGCATTCGGCGAGGTGGAGCCAATTTGAATGAAACAGTTAATCTTTTAACGAATGAAAATATATTTTTCTTTGTGCTCATAAACATTCTTTGTTTTATAACACACATTTTTTCTTCATTCTTGTCATTTGATATTTTATGAAAAAAAAAATCTACCTTTTTTCTGAATGGAGATTCTTGTCATTTGATATTTTATGAAAAAAAATTACACTTTTTTTTAATAGAATATTCCAGCATCTTTTAATCAATCAAAAGATTGTATTAGGTTGATCGTCATATCATATCCTAGGCAACGTGCAATGGGCAAAAGATGAATAGAAAGTTTTTTAGTTCCATGAACGGAACTAAAAAAGCATGGTGGAACTAAATTTGATGAGTGATGAAATGGGGCATATAACCAATGTCACGTGATACGAAATCTACCAATCAAATGACAAGGATCTATTTAGGTGTGTTATAATATGTCTATATAAATGATTGAGTATTTTAAAAAGCCATTTACATAGCAAACAGTATTTATGGTCTCAGTAAAACCTATGCACATTTAAATACAAGTGGAAAGAGCTATGATATAGCCAAGGTAAAGGCTACCCATAGTCTTGGTAAATATTAATCTTTAAATACAAACATTGCTTTAATGATTACTAAACATTCAATAATGCATCTAGGCAAGTCACTTGCATTTTTATACAATGCTAAGGCTTCTTTTAAAGTGTAATTCTTATTGTATTAGTGAACATTATTTGATAACATCATGTTTCTAAACTCATTACATAACTTCACATTGTAGAGATTTGTGGCAACAAAGGATAAGGCAGCTATGTTGCACTCACCTGAAACAGCGTTGACAGCATCTTGCAGAGTGTCTACAACAGCAGCTAAAAGCTTGTTCTTATCACTAGTCTCAGGCAGAACGTCATCCCAAGGAGTCTGAGTACCTTCCCCAATGAGCCCTTGTTCCACCTCATTGATAGGGCCAGGTCTGGCCAATAGGGTCTGTACATCTGGCAGTGGTGGTGTTGGAGTGATAATAGCTTGCGCTAGGTGAGCTGCAATCAGTTGATCAGGCTGGTAACCGTTTTCATCCGTTAATAGAAACGGCTCTGGTTCATCATCCGGTTCAAGATGCTTAGAATTAATGACTCCTTGGATGGCAACCGCTTCGCCGGATCCCTCTAAACTGCAGTCAACCGGCTCTTGATAAATGTTTTCTGATGCTCTTAGTAGCTGAGAATCGGATGCATCTAGTTCGTTATCATCCTCAGCGCCATCGCACAGACCTTTTCTTGACTTATTATTATTAGCTTCGGCTGCCGCTTCCGCTCTGTCGTTAATCTCTTCCCTGATCAAGGTTGCTGCGTTATGAGCGGCAAAAGCTCGATTCTGTACCACCTCTCGGAACTGGGCAGCAACTTTGGATGCTGTGATCTGTGACAGAGCTTTCTGTGCTTCCATACGCTCCTGAAGTTCACGTTCGACCTTCTGGAGCTCTGCGATTATCTGCTGCTTCTCCAGGATTTGTTCCTCGGCAGTTTTTTGACGTTTAGCAGACTTTGTGCTCGGGAAGTCTGATGGCCATTTTGCGACATTGTCAAAAGAACATGGAACATTATTGAAGAATTTTACGTATGATTCTGGATTTGTTTCGTTCTGATTGGACGGGTCGTATATTGCATTTGGGAGGTCTGGATAAGATTGGCCAGCTATTCCTGATAAAGCACCTGCTAAAAATATTAAAAAACAAGTGTAAATGGTAGAACACCAAGTTTTTTAGGACAGAAATGCTCTCTTTATATTCAAAAACTTTAACTTTAACTGAAGTTGTTATCCAGGTTTTACCAGTTCTATCTGGATCTATCAAATATCAAATGAAGTTTTGATTCAAGGTATTTCCTTACCTGGGATTACCATAGGGGATCCTTCTTGTGGATGCTTGTCAGGTTCTTGTGGCGGTACAACCATTGGAAGGGCTTGAGTTGGCACCCTGGGGATCTCTCCCTGCTGCTCTATCGGGGGTGTGATGCTACCCTCCATCGGTATACTGGCCTGGACCATATTGGCTGGGTATTCCAGCAATAGATCAACTACTTGTGAATGCCCTCCTTTTGCAGCCTCAATCAAACTGGTTGAGCCATCCTGTTGAAAGATGGAAAATTATTTGTACATTACATGCCTTAATTGTACTGTTTTGTGAATGACAAAAGGAACCTATTATGATTGGAAATGTGTAAAAAGTAAAAGATCTCACCTTGAGTTTATGCGTTGGATTTGCTCCGTGAGCTAATAGTAACTCTACAACAGATAAATGACCTCCGGCACATGCGAGGGATAGCACAGTGTGGTCATTATTGGTGGTTGCACGATTAACATTTGCTCCTGCAAGGTCAAAGGTCACGGTTTTACATTTTCATTATTATTATTGTGATTATCACAATCATTACAATCAGGCTTAAAAAAAAAATTGTTTGTTTGCCCTGCTCACCCACCCCTAACTAACTAAAAAAATATAGGTCCGGTAAGACAAAAACACTTTTTTTTAGCTTTATTCTTTACAAATTAAAAAAAATGTCAGTGAATAGATCTCTATTTTTTGCCAGATGCTCTACAAAGTTGTCTCAAATTGTTGTCTGATGTAAGATATTGCCATTCTAGGCTTACGTTCATTGAAAAATGTCAACTGTGGGTTATTTATATTCCATCTGATGAGTAATCTTGAAAATTCCACCCGCCCCCCTTTTTATCATTTAAAAAAAAGAAGGGCAAACAAAAAAAAAAAAACCCACTTTCTTAAGGCCTCATCATATCACCATAATTACTTACCTTTAACAATCTACTTTTAAATATATTTTTTTTTTTCTTTTGATGAATAAATTTGCTGGGACCAAATGGTATGAAAATCTTGTCAAATTTTTTGACATCGTCGTCTTAATCTGTTCATGGCATTAACAACTGGCACTAAACAAAACCATCAATATAATGATTAACTGGTTACTTAAAAAAAAAAAAAAAAATTCTCTGCTAAGTATTTTTTTGGAAGAAGGCATACAAACAAGCACCAATGTCAAATAGCTTACCTCTACTGATGAGGAATTGTACAGTGCATAGATGTCCCGCCCTGGAAGCTTTCATTAGTGGTGTTCTACCGCCTTCAGATTCATGCTCCTGAAAATTTATGTTGAGGAAAATGCTTACACTGATCACATATAGACATGTTATTGGCTTTGATGTATTAGTAAAGGTTGCTGGTACCGGCTACCGGGTAGCACAGACACAAAGGAACACTTTGGGGGGGGGGGGGTTTGAAGAAAGTCATTGATCGAGTTACTAGTCCACATAACGAGCACCAGGAGCATCTTGTTTGATGGATACTGGCGCTATACATTCTACATTATTATTATTAATTATATTATTATGGACGAATTTAGAATAGATATTTTGTTTATTTATGTTCAAGACGGCAATACAATATAAAACAAAGGTTAAAACCTACCAAGTTAGCCCCAAATGCTAACAAGACATCTGCAACATCAGTATGGCCATTTTCACAAGCATAAGTTAAGGCAGTGTCGCCTGTGGCAGTGGTGGCATGCACGTTAGCCCCTAAAGAAAAGGTGAAACAAAACAAAAAAAAATAAATGCATGTCAATACATTTGGCATGAAAAGACCCTTGGGGGGGGGACACAAGTTACTGTATGAGCTAGTCCACACCTCGAGCGCTTTGAGACCTCGGAATAAAGCTCCAAATAAATAAAACTACATTAAATTGAAAGCAATTATGTTAAGAGGACTACGGTAACTGTGAACCCTTCAATTTCTAGGAATCACTAAATAAGGTGTTCGACATACAACTATAGAGTCAATGCACAAGTCAAACGAAAACCTCTAAAACTGCTATTTAATTTGTGCAACTGCAATAGGAGGCATAGCAATTAAACTATTCCACCTCATTGAAATTTTATGCAGAGATGACTGGTCCACATAACAAGCACCAGGTGTATCTTGTTTGATGGATACTGGCGCTATACATTCTACATTATTATTATTAACTATATTATTATGGACGAATTTAGAATAGAAATTTTGTTTATTCATGTTCAAGACAGCAGTACAATATAAAACAAAGGTTAAAACCTACCAAGTTAGCCCCAAATGCTAACAAGACATCTGCAACATCAGTATGGCCATTTTCACAAGCATAAGTTAAGGCAGTGTCGCCTGTGGCAGTGGTGGCATGCACGTTAGCCCCTAAAGAAAAGGTGAAACAAAACAAAAAAAAATAAATGCATGTCAATACATTTGGCATGAAAAGACCCTTGGGGGGGGGACACAAGTTACTGTATGAGCTAGTCCACACCTCGAGCGCTTTGAGACCTCGGAATAAAGCTCCAAATAAATAAAACTACATTAAATTGAAAGCAATTATGTTAAGAGGACTAAAGGCCAACTCAGACAGCGTCGTACGACGCAGCCCAACGCGATTTGTTGTCACGTCGGGTCTGTGTGAGTAAAACGCAGACGCAATGGTGTGCGTTGGGGGCAGTTGCATCGTAGAATATTAAACATGTTTAATATTTCTCACGACGGCTTAAGACTGTCCCCGACGATAAATCGCGTCGGGCTGCGTTGGCCGACAATATCTGAGTTGGCCTTAAAGTAACTGTGAACCCTTCAATTTCTAGGAATCACTAAATAAGGTGTTCAACAAACAACTATACAGTCAATGCACAAGTCAAACGAAAACCTCTAAAACTGCTATTTAATTTGTGCAACTGCAATAGGAGGCATAACAATTACACTATTCCACCTCATTGAAATTTTATGCAGAGATGTAATAATAAATGACTCGCACTCACCTTGATATAGGAGGTATTTTACGAGGTCTACATGGCCTTCTTGCGAAGCCTCCATCAGTGGTGTTGAGCAGCCTAGCTCCATATCAGCACCGACTTCTATCAGGAACTTGGCCACTTCTAGGAAGCCTCCGCAGCATGCTAGCGTCAAGGCTGTCTCTTGTGTCTCTTCTGTCTGTGCATTGATATTGGCACCTAAAATTGAAGAGTATACTTTGACCATCTGATACATTATGTAGAATGAATAGTTGGCCATGCTAATGATATCTCCCTTGCACCTGAAGTAATGCTAAACTTTAGGATCATGTTAACCCATAGCATCTGGCTAGCCCAAAGCACCAAGACCACCAGGCTAGCTGTTTCAAATATTAAAATAGATGTTTACTGTTTATATCTGTATTAATAGCACTTTGTAATGGCATACACGATAATTAAATATTTACTGTTTCTTGTACTTGTTTAGTGTTTACTGTTTCTCTACAAAATTTGTAAAATTGGAAACACTTGTAATTACCTGTAATTTTGCCTAGCTAATGTTTGTTTGAACCTATATGCCAAGTGCCGGCTTAATGAACTCAAAATAACGACATCTATTTTTGTGTTAACTATAATATAAATTTAGTTCTTATAACATTAATGCTTACCCTTGGCTAGTAATAGAGCAACCATTTCTTCATGGCCCTCTCTGGCAGCTTCCATCAGTGGGGTGTAGCCTTCATCATTGACCTCTTCTATATTTGCGCCCCTGTCTATGAGTAGGGCAGCCAGGTCAACATGACCACCACATGCTGCCAAGGTGAGAGGTGATTCAAAGCTATCTGCCGGCATGTTAACCTAAGACAAAGTAGAAGGCAAAATTATTTGAAATGGATAAACATTTTGAAAGATTTGTAAAATAGTTAATGTAAAGGTATCATTCATTTGTATTTCATTTTCAGAAAAAGAGAACATAGGCTAGGGCAAGGGTGGGCATAAAAATTAGTCGGAGGGCCAAAGTGAATTTTTGATTTAACACCGAGGGCCGCATCCAAACTTTGGTGTTTTCAGTGAGCTTCCAATAACCTCCAAACACTGCTTTTACATCACTTTTTTTCTTAGTTTTAATGTTACTTTTTATATATGATTGGTATCAAGCCGTAAAAAAACCAAGGTGATTTCTGATAGGTGGGCGGGCCGCAAACATAGGGTTATGAATTCCTTGTCATGGGCCGCAAGAAAATCGCTGCACTTTGCCCACCTGTAGGCTAGGGTAAGAGTGCAAACAGTGTATGGATGCTTTTTCTTGTGTATTTGCTTACATTTACTGCTTTTCAAAGACAAGAACAAAATCATCAAAACCAAGTATTGACTTTTTTTTTTTTTTTGCATTTGCCTATGTTTGAGTAACTTATGATTAATGCTGAAGTGTTTGTTTACCTTTGTAAATTAATATGTATGTATGTATTATTAAATAAATAAAAACTATATGGAAAAAACAGTATTGACTTGAATCTTATCTTTATGAAGAAGAAAAATGATAATCTCAAAAGATCATCTCTAAATAAATATCAAATTTAAAGTATGTTTAAACTCTAATAATTTAAAAGTCAATCTTATTTTACATGCCAAATTGTTGTGTTTTCCATTAATTAACAATCTGTAAATCGAATTTTATACAAGATGAACAACTTTGTCAATGCTATTTTGGATTTGACTTAGGCAAGTTCAACTATAAAGGCATTTTAGAAACTTGATGAGTTCTCCAGATTTTACAATTGATCATATATTGTATATCTTCATGTGTATGTCTGTCAATCAATCAATCAATCTCAGACGTGATGCTCACCTGTGCACCATGATCCAGTAAGAGCTGTGCCACCTCTACATGCCCGTCCATCGAAGCCTCCATTAATGCTGTGTGCATCTCATCTGTCTTGTGTTCGTGGTCGGCGCCTGCTTCTAATAGGAACTTCACCATTTCAAGATGCCCTACAAAATAAACACATTAAAAATTGCTTATGGTGTCTTTTTTTTCTATTGTCATTAGATAAACAGTCACACATACTATGTAACCTCCTCCGCTTCTTAGGGAGTGTTCTTACAGTATTTGTGGAGCTAAATTAGTACTATTCAATTTCATTCCAAATCTTTCATTAACTAATACCCACATACTTCTAAGAAAAGAGGGAAAAAAAACATATCCTGCCCAAGGCCATAATAATGTAACCAGCAACGGATTCAAGCTTACAACCATTCAGTTGAAAGCCCAAAGAACATAATTTCCAAGAATATTTAAATCTCCTCTATTCTTGGAAGGCAAACAACTTAACCAAGAAAGTTACAGCTCTACTCTGATTAGTAAGTAAATGGCATTTAACTCATTGTGATGTGTGTAAGTAAATGGCTTTTAACTCACTGTGATGTGTTATTTTTTTCTTTTAGTCCAATGGAAGACATAAATGCATTTACCTTTATAGCAGGCCAGTGTCAATGCACTTTCTTTGAATTCGTTTGAGTGCGTATTGATGCCAGCGCCCCTTATCAGAAGCAGACGAGCCACTTCAACGTGGCCACAACTGGCTGCTTCCATCAGGGGCGTGTGGCCATTCTCATTATGGTCCTCGATGTTGGCCCCGTGCTCTAGTAACACCTGTACTACATCTTCATGCCCACCGCTGCATGCATACATCAAAGCTGTATTCCCTAAAAATAGAAGGGAAATAAGAATTATTATTACTACTGTGATTATTCTGTATTATTTATTGAGTATCATTCAGTAAAAAAAACACATACAAAAACAGTCCATTGCAACATATGCTGAATTGTGTTACTGAATATAAAATTACAAGTGTATAAATATATGACTAATCAGCAATTATACATTTACAAATCATTATTAAAAGATATACAGTGCACTATTAAACACACAATTCTGAACTACAAAATGTATACATAAACACCATAAACTGAATTAGGCATTAATAGCAACTTCATAGAAACACATGAACATGTGAACTGTAGAAACATGAAAAAATATCCTATGAAATTTTTACAGTCTCAACTCTCATACCTTACAACTTAATAGATTAAAACAGCAAGAATATTAAGCATATTGCATATTGCCATTGGACGCGAGAAAACATCATTTAACTTCTTTATCATATAGAGAGAATCATTTTTTTATGTTTATATTATTATCTTATACTGATACCACAACCCAATATTATGTTTATTATTTTAAATCTTAACAGTTCATAACATTTTTGATAAATGCACTGTTACACACATCGTCGCTCACATCAATAACTAACACAATCAAATTAGATTGTGTTAGTTTGTGAAATCACAAAAGCGTGTCAAAATACGCGCAGTTGTTGTTACAGACTTTTTGTATGATAAGGAATAGGAAAGTGCCTGACAACCAATACATGCTCGTTTTGACGCGCTACTGTGATTTCATGAACTAACACAATCTACTTTGATTGTGTTAGTTTGTGATGTGATCGACGATATGTAGGTCAATATATTGCTATTAATATCTGGGAAACTTTAACTTCTATATCATTTAGAGAGAATTTTTGTTTTACTGTTTATATTATCTTATACTGGTACTACCTCCCAATATTATAATGTATATTATTTTTAATCTCCCATCATTCATAACATTCTTGATGAATGCGTTGTTTCACATTATGTAGGTCAAACGACATCTACAGAGTGCCTTACATAGTCATAACATATTCAAATTAACATAGGAGACAGCATTAAAGAGAAGAAACAAGAGTAATAAATACTCAATAATTGAGTTGCTCAAAGTTAAATTACCTTTCGACACCTAGATATACAAATTAACACAGGTACTACTTAGGTAATGTATTTTTTTTTCAAGTATGCTCCGAGAAATTTACAGCAATAAGTAGCTATATACCCGAGGGAGTGAATTCGGCACATACATTAGCGTACATCTTGGAAGTAGTAACGTTGAACATTAGTAACGGCGTGGCCGATTCAACAAGCAGTATAACAAGCAAGCTATTATCATCATTAATTCACTAATACTTTTATATGCTTCGGTTGGATGCATAATCAGATTATGTCTTGGCTAATGGATTAAGGAATAAATATATGAATGAACTTTAATTTTAAAGGACTAAATTCAACCATGTAGCTGCCATGAATTATCAGAATATGTATTGACTAATGGAGTATGAAATAAATAAATGAATAATCTAAATCTTAAAGTATTAAATTATAAAGCAATTTATTTAAATATACTTAAAATGAGGTTACCCATGCCAAAAAGAATCATCATCCTTGATTTTTAGAGGGTTTGAAATATAAAACCTATACCATATGATTGAATAGGAACAATGTCATTTCCATACATGAATTATAGATTTTCAGATTATTTCTAGTAATACTCTTATATTCTTCTATGTAAATGTTACACAACATGGCCATGTGGCAGCCATGTTTGATATCTGAATGACTTAGAAACCAGTACCTGTTTGTGATTTGGAGTTGACGTGCGCTCCGTATTCGATCAGCAATCGCACGACGTCAACATGTCCCCCAGATGCGGCCTCCATAAGGGGTGTACAGTCACCCTTTAGGCCACGATCTTCAATAGCCGCGTTCATTTTTAATAACACCTGAAAAATAAACGAACTTAGATAATGTAGTGCGAGAGGTCAGACACTTTATTTACATTGTCTCTGGCGTGTAAGTGGGTTATAATTAAATCGGTGCAATTGTGTTGTTGACACTCTGGACAGCGTCGTTTTTAAAGGCAATGCTACAGTTACATCATACTTACCGATGGGTATCTACGTATATTCACCCGTGAAAGTGATGCTGTCCCAACATCGGTTGGTAAAACACAATAAAAAAAAAAATTCATTTCATCTAATACCTAGAACTGATTCTAGCTACATAAAAAACGGTGCTTCCCAGTGACTTGAAGATTTGTTCCAAAAATGTTTGACTAAAGCCGCAATCGCACTGGATTTAAAATAGGGAAATTTTTACCGAGACTGTGGGTAACATTCCAATGGGTAAAGTTCCTGTCGTTCGCACTGGGATTTATCGACGTGGTTAGTTTTACCACAGGCCAAGGTGAAACTAACCATTCGTACAGATTCAACTATTGGGGGCTCAGATTGCCTACGTTGACGCTCACGTACGACAGATCGTAACAAGCTAAACCGCCGGGTTCTCCTTCTTGTTGTGACAGTGTTTCTTTGGACTAGGCCCACATCATGTTGTATTTGTTGATAATCGCGATGGATTGTCTCACCAAGACCTAGCACATTTATTAATGCTCCATATAAATCGGCCATTGAAACAAACCGAGTAAACAAGTGACAAAAATGACAAAATTACTCAAAATCAAGACACTAGCAAACACGCGCGAAATTAATCAAGATGTTTGTGTGTGACGTTTTATTCCAGGTCACAGCTCATGCGTAATTGCCTGACAGCCTGAGGAAGGTCATTCACTGGGATGACTTGGGAAGTTTACCCGACTCGCGCTGTTCGCATTGGACTTTCCTGCTAGGTAAAACTAACCTGGTCAGTTTTCCTGGGCAAGCGGGACTCGGGAGGGCGGCTGCAGCCTCATCCAACGCCGAACTGACTGACGATGTTAACTTGCGTAAAATCTCAGGGTCTGTGAATGCTTTTCCATCAGCAGTCGTAAGCTTGTCGATACCTGATTAGAAGAAAATGCATACATTAATATTAATGTCATTCTTCTTTGTTACATGTTAATTATTACCAAAGTTTCTAACATGCTCTAAATGATACAAAACTTTGCGTTGGGCAACAGTGGCGTAACCAGGGCGTTTACACTGTGTTTGAGTACCACCCTCCGTCACTTTTTTTGTTCAAACATGAAAAACATAATAGTAACTTAATGGAAATAAATGGCAAAGTAAGGTACTATACTTCAGATGTTAACAACCAGTTTATGTTGCAGTCCTGACCATTGATATATATATGCTCCAACCCTAATTTTGTACCTTGCATAAATATGCAGTGTATTAATATTTCTATTAAGCATCCCTCTTTTCAAAATCCTGGATATGCCACTGTGCAAGACCAACTAACTCAAAATCTTAAAACTCAGTTTTTATTTTGCAAAATGTACATTTCTTTACGAAATTGTCCGGAATAAGTACTTCTATGAGGTTTAAAATATCTACTTCTGAAGCTTTAAATGATAATGCAATACCTCAAACTGGATTTTAGCCTCGAGGCTAGCATTAAAATTGTTATCAACCAAAATAAATGGGAATGAACTCTACAAGAAGCTGGCACTAATTATTAATGGCCTGTAGACAAAACAGTCGCTAGATTTAAGCAATACAATTCCTGTAGTCTTAATATGCCTTTACATTGTAGAAAATCTATCTATTTATGATTTTTTTTTATTTAATAGTAAACATCATTAAAAACTGAATTTGTTCTTGATCTCTAAGTTTATTGAAAATTTGAAACTATAAAAATTAATATTTAAATTAGAAAACTTTTTGGTGGCAGACTTATCTATAATATTTTCAACTGGAGTGTAATATGTATAATGGGGGAAACTGTTTATGTGGCCTTATTGCCTACACATTGAAACCTACTTCGTTTCATGTTGTTAGTTTATATATTTGTCAATTTTATTGTACAACAAACATGATTTGGAAGTGAAAGAAAAATAAATTAAATTAGATTAACTCTGACTAAAAACAAACCCTTTGTACAAAATACAATATTTTTTTTTTATAATACTATATATTATCTGCTTTTGTAGTATTCCCTTTTAAATGCAACCATGTCTGCCAAAGCTGTTCCTTGGTGTGAACAAAAATATAATTCAATTCCTTTTGATAAAATATAATTCTTTTCCTTTTGATAAAAAAATTTAAGATAAAAAAAATACTGATAGTAAGTGAATCTATTGTGATTAATTTAATTGTTTTGAGTATTCTAATCATTAGATCTTTTGGAATGTATACTTCCATTTCTTACATGATTATAGTAACTGAAAGGTCATCAGTGAGATTCCACACTTGGATAAAGTGGTTTAGGGCAAATGGATTGTACAATTACTTCATCAGCTGGGTGGTGACATGGTTAACTGTTTAAATACTAGATTTACGAAATGTATTCCCCCATGCAATTAAGCTGTTAACACCCTACCGACTAATGTAGTAAACCTAAGTCCACGTTAACAGACATAACAACATAACAAAGACCAATGATCACACTAACCTAAAGACCACGTTGGCAGGTATGTAACAAAGACCTAAGACCATGTGTGTGCCTACAGTACAATGTTACTGTATGTCTTGTCGGGCTGTTACTAAATTATATTAGATATTAAATGCAATTCTGAGGTGCTTAATACACATAAGTGAAATTTATGGATTAGTTAGGTCAATGGACACACTTGAGCAATTCCACATGACAACCAAGTTATGTAGTGGCATCAATTCAATTAAAGCAGCTATCCCATCAACCCATTCTATATCCAATTTCCACAATAGATAAAACACAGAGTTTGTCTTTTTTGTACAGTAGTTGAATGCACTCTATTAATTTCTTCATAACACTATCAATAAATTTGTAATTAAAAATGTTAATAGAATGTTTACTGTATTGTATTTCAATTATCAATCAATCCAGTATAGTTTTAATGGAATGTTTTAATGTATTGTATTTTAATGGTTTTAATTATTTATTGTATTATAAGACTCAAGTACTTGCTTTATGAAAATTTTTAATGAATATTGTTTGCACTGCACAAATAAAGATTACTATTAAAAAATTATTAGTTTATCACCCTAACAAAGAATAAAAATTGATGAGGGAGGGAGGGATGGAGGGGTTTTTTTTTTCCTAACCCTGCTCCCATTTTACCAATGTTCACAAGTAAATCAATGTTTAGGGACACATACATAAAAAGTCATAAGAATGGAATCAAATTTATATTTCAATTTAAAAAATATGTTTTTGTTGTACCAGTAAACATATTTGCAAGAAATCCTGAGCTTTTCAAGCGGAAAAATTTGGAAAAAACGACAGTTTGAAATAAAAAAATATGTTGATTGAGAAAAAAAAAAAAAAAAAAAATTCCCTGAAAGTGGTGAGGGAGGGGGTGATAAACTAACAATTTTTTTTTTAATGGGGCCTTATCATAACTGGTGATAAAAAATTTAATGCATTACATAATTTGTAAAATAATTAATTTGTGCATTATTAAATTACTAGTTTATAATAAATTAGATAACCATTGAGAATATTAAATTTCTATCTAGTGATATGATACATCAAAATTAATTACTATTTTAGAGATCAGTGCGATGAAGTAAAGATGGTATACAGTAAGTTTCTCTTTGATTTCACCAAATACAAATGAATAATGGTTTGAAATTAATGAACATTTGTTAAGCGAGGGTCAAATGTTGATTCAATTATGCTAAAGAGACTTGGCAATTATTAACGCTCAGCATGTAATCTTGCTTGTACTACAGACTGATATTAACATTAGTATTTATTGGGTTGTCCCATTGTTATATTCTGACAATGTTGGTACAACCTTAGCTTATTGGGCTGGGCATTGTGAGTTGGGTATTGTGAGTTGGGTGAGACCGATGAACTTGGTCCTTAGCTTGAGGAATACAGTAGACTATTTTTATACCATGTTTCATGAACCTGCTACCCGTAAATTAAAAGTGACTTCATATTTATTAAAATAAAATTCTATTTCCTGACATCAAAATGAACATTTTGCAACTGTTGAATTTTTTACACCGCAACATCACTTTTTTATATGTCCAATGATACATAATCTTGAGCAATGACCTACAGTAAGGGCTCCCTCTATTCTTTTTACCTTGCAAAATTTGCATATTTTTAAACACCAATACAAATTGAATTTTGACAGAATCAATTTGCTAACAGAATTGCAAAAAAAAAAATGTTTGTGCCCTTTTTGATAATCTTTTAAAAACAAAGTTTACTGAACAAGGTACTGCAAATGTAAAAAAGGCTTGCCTTTTGAGATAATTTCATAAACAAGCGATAAAACACTTTGATAAAAACACACCGCACCTTTATGGAGTTATGTTACATTTCCCGCATTTCTACCTACGACTGGAGCAATAATACTGCTGTAATGTTTACCAGGCATTTTCCAATGACTGTGATAGTGCAAAGGCTTTGATCCTAGAGGGCTTAGCAATAATGATGTACTATATAACGTTGACTCTCATCATACCATCAAGTGGACCTTGTTAATATGCGTTAAATATGGGAAAATAATTATGCTTGTAGTCTGTAACAATTTACATTAAAAAAATTTAATTTGCATATTTAAAAAACTGACTTGAATAAATATTGACATTACCTGCTGCTTCGAGAAGTGCTTCTAATGTTTCTGGATCGACTGTTCGCAGATCGGGTGTTCCGCTTGGGTCAAGTTGTAGGAGCTTGGAGGCGGTATCCAGTATTGGCTCCCCGTCAAAATTTTCTAATTTCTCGTCCAGGATGAAGGATGAAATCTGAGGCAAGTAAAAAAAAAATTTGAATCATTCTATTAAACAATTACTGTAATCTATCCCTCTGTTCAGTTTTGTTAACACCACAAATAATTAATCTACAAAAATAATTAATTACACATCCATCCTCGTTTATTCTTCTAGCACAATCACAATTGCCCAACATAAATTGATAAACAAAAAAGCATACAGAAATAAAAATGTTCAATTCCATTTATAAAATATAGAAAAGAAATAATATACACTTTTAGTAGGACAAGCTTACTATTTATTCCATAATTTATGATGTGAAATTTGCCAGATATCTCATTTTCCCTAAAAGACCAAGTGTGAACCTGTCTGTTGTTTTAATTACTGTGTATAATTTATTAAATCTAATAAATTAACACAATATTTTAGGAACACTTACAGTATAAAAGATTAATACATCTCCATAATATGGAATATATACAGGTAACAAGAAAAGCATTACCATACAGTAACAATTTTTTTAACATTGAACATAATAAAACATTTAATTCAAAAAAAACTACAGTATAACTACAGTATAATTGACTGATTAAAATTTAGGTGTGTAATGAGGAAGCAGTATATGGTTTGGCCAAACCACCTTTACAAACACCTCCTTTCCTTTGCACATGCAATGAAAATAGAAATGAAATTTACCAACTAAAAATGCTAGACCCTACAAGTGCCTAAATGTTTCCTGGATCCCCGGCTTTTTATAAGAAAAGCAGAAAACCCCTTAAGGATTTCTGGTTACAGGCCAGCAATCCCGAATATCATCAACCCCATTAGCATATCATGGATCAATCTCTTTTCAACCACCTTACTTCAATGATCCCTTGTTCAGCTAACTTCCTTTCAGCTTTCAGATGGCTAGTATTTTGAGCAGTAAGTTAGGCCCTATGAATTTTTGTACTTCATCAAATATATGGTTGAGTCACTTTAATACCAGTTCCTTATATGCCAGAGAGTATTCAAAATACTAATAACACCATTTCAAATCTTAAAAATCCTTATTAATACAATCCAAATTAATACAAGGGTAAAATGTATAAACTTAAACTTTTTTAATGTTATTGCCACTAAATTGAATAAGAACATTTCAATAGTTTATCACCATAAATTGCTACATCAAATAATTCAATTGATATATTTTAAAGACAATTATGTCAAAGGTCAGCAAGCAGTGTCATTGAATGAACACACAAGTCTCATGACCAACAAAGGCTAACTGATGCCAAGAAAATAACCTCACTGAAGTTCACATGCTTTTGTATAATCTACTTGGAAACCATTTTAATCAGACGGTAGCCCAGTGGATCTGTCACTAAAGCTGTGCATGCAATGTTTGTCAGACTAGGGAAAAAGTTTAATGTGTGGAACAAGACTTCACTCAAACTCAAAGAAATGGAGCAATGTTTGAAAGAGACAATGTTTGATCAGATGTCTGAAAGAAATTTGATCAGATTCTGGTGATATGGAGCAATGTTTGACTGAAAACAACAGGGATAGACATGATAACATGACTATATATTTATTGAAATATTAAATAACATTCAAAATAGCTAATTCATTTGAAGAATTAACATTATATCTCATATGTAATTAATATTATTAGACAGTACTATATAGGCCCAATTAGTGATATGAATATTCAACCTGTTTGACTGGAGTAGAAATGCCAATAAAAATTTTAATTGCAAACAGAATTGAAATTACAGATGTTTGAAAAATAACTGAATAATCAATTAGCTATGAATCAGAGTCAGAGATAGATGCAACCTTGTATATGAAAATGGTTATTTAAACTTATTTAATGTGTACAAAATATTAAATTTCCTACATCATTCTTTTTTACTTGCACACTTTATCATCCTAGAAATTCTTCAGATTCCAAAAGCAGGGAAACATCAGTGCACAGATTTAGAAATTTATCAGGGTAGATTTTGTAGGCTAGGGCTAATGTCCAAGAAAATTCTGCGTGGAATTCTGTGATGATCTGTTAAATTCTTACATAAAAGAACCATCCCACTATATGTTGCATAGTAGTTTTTGTGCACACATTTTCCAAGTGATTTTCATACAATTTTCAGTGGAGTATCTCTTCTGTTGTTTTCAGGTTCTGTTCATAGAGCACTAATGATATTAATGATGATGCTTACAATGAACTGAAAGCCTGCAATCGACGTAAACCTGCAAAAATTGTGAAATTTATCATGGTACTAGACAAAAATGAAAGTACCTGTAGATCTGAACAAAGCAATATCAACAAACTAATAGCAACCAATAATACCAAGTTGTTGCCTGTACTACAGTATGTGTACATGTTGTTCTGATATAAAATTGTGTGGTGAAACATCTTTAAAGGTCACAGACTGCCAGAAAATACAAATCCATTGTTTTAACTACACATTACCACCATAAAAAATGATACTTATGGCTAAGCACTAGTACATGCCTCTTTCAATCTAAGCACTAGTATATGCCTCTTTCAATTTAAATTATATTTACTAAAATAGTGTATATACATATAATACCTTAGATATTTGTTAAAAATTATATATTTTTTATTGTTATATTGTGAAAGAAATAAATGTTGATTTGATTGGATTTGATTTGATTTGATATACCCAACTTACTAAACTTCATGGTAGCCAACTGAAAATATCTTCTCAAGATATTGAATAAACTTATTACATGACTTTAACCCTCAGAATACATTTTAAAAAATTCTATGGAATTATTACATGATAAATAGAGGGTGTTGGATCATGACTGTTTGCCTCTTGATGAGCAGCAACTAGCTGCTTCTTTGAAATGAATCTGCAACCATGATCTATGTGTATGGGAAGGTGACAAATATGGGGGGGGGGGGAGGTCTGCTTCGTGTACACATGAACTCTAGAAATCATCATACTCTATTTCTAAACACTTTAAAAATATTTACACTATATAAGAGATTGAACATTAATTAAAATAAAATATAAATAAAGGTTCTGTCTCATAAATCCTTGATGATTTTTAAACCCAAAATACTATACATGTTAACATCTTCGTTCCAGTAAAACAAACTACCAATGATTCTCTATTTTATTGCATTCCTTTTTACGGCTTTCTGCTATAGAATTGTGTCTACTGGTGAGAAAAAAACATTTGACAATACCGTGTTCACAAATGTGCTTTAATATAGATAATTAGCAGAAGCTCAAATTGAATTTTTCTACTCCCTTATTATAAAAAAAATACCTACCCAAAAGTCAGTGTATACTTCCGTTTTTCTAAAGATAGTTTATGTGAATTATAAGGTAATAACCGTTATTTTCGTGTGTTCTTTATAAAATATTCCTGAATATCTGTCTCTTATACACATCTTGTGTGTGTGTGTGTTTCTGTGTGTGTTAAAAATTATAAATACAAGGAGGAACACTGAGATGATATGTAAGCTTGTAATTAGCTTGGTCATCATTAGAAACTCTGGAATTGCCTTTGCTTGCAGCCATAGGGCCTATGCTCTTCTTTGTTTAAATTATATCAATTTATTACATCTGGGAGTTGATCAGAAGGAATCAAATATTAAGTGAGAACGGCCAAAGCTAGGCCTAGCGGTAGGATAGGCATAAGCCTAAATCGGCAGTTGATCCACTAGGCCTAGGATAGGCCCTGATAATTTATAATTAAAAATCACTAGATCTGGGAAATGAGTAATTATTATTCAGTTAATGTTTTGATGATATTACATCAATGAAATAATGATCAAGATTTGTTAACTCAGCCTAGCCTCTAAGCTAAAAAGAGGGCCTGGACAATAACGAATATATAGGCTACACAGACAGAAAACAAGACTGGTTTTTTTTTTTAGACAGAGAAGCTGGATAAACCAAAAAAGCTACACATCGCTAAACTAGTTAACAACAGCTTATCTGAAGTTAAAGCTGTACAACGAACGTTGAGTCCACAGATGATTTACCTCTGAAGCCTCTGCTTCTTCACTGCCCGATAAGTTAGACATGTCTTGCGTTTTCGACAAATCCTCTTGAATTGAATTCAAGTTCACTTCAACCTGATCTAACGTGGAGCTCAGACTCAGCAACTGCTGGGCTTCGCAAAGTTTTGATTCAGGGAGAGCAGTTCCGGTATTTTCCTCCCCACCATTCAGCATTTTCTTACTCTATGTTTACATAATATCTATACTGAATGCTCCTTACTTAAAATTCTTCCAGAAAAAAGGACAAATTACGGCATTATTCTTCTACCGACTTGTTCTTCTATTACGATGTACGAGCAGCCATATTTTTGTCAGCCCCGGATGTTAACATTTGTGCGCATGTGTTTATTCTCGGTAGGATTTTCGCGCTAGCGAAAATACTCGAATGGTTTCCACATCGTTGTTTATATCACTTCTGGTTTAAATAATGTTCAAGATATACCTGAATAAATAAAATATATGGCGAATAAAATTCATACCACTTGCTTGCTCAAAAAAGAAAATAGAAAAAAAATAGTTAACAAAAAGTAGCCCCTTGAGAGATTTGAACTCTCGACCCCTGGTTTACAAGACCAGTGCTCTAACCACTGAGCTAAAGAGGCTTTCACGGGTGTCGCTGGTGAATTATAGATATTTGAAACCTAATGAGAAGTGATCGCAATATTTGCATTGATTACTTCCGTTTTTCTAAAGATAGTTTATGTGAATTATAAGGTAATAACCGTTATTTTCGTGTGTTCTTTATAAAATATTCCTGAATATACTAAATATGTAGTGCAATGCATAACTTACTTAGATTTTAGGAGCTTTTTGTGACTTTTAGCCAACCGCCCCCTTTCGACGATGTGGTAATTGATGCTGGTGGTGGCGCTATACTGCAAAGAAAAAAAAATAGCAGACTCTCCTTGAAAACACGTCAACACGGAAAACTGGTATTGTGGACAATTTGCATTTTATCAGGGAATTCTTTCTAACGCCAATAATTTCCGAGGTTTTTCGTTCTTAATTTTTGAAATGTACGTATACACAATTGCAGTGTTGAGCTTGGGCTTAGTTTTCTCCGTTACTGGAAATCCTGTAGGCATAGACCAAGGCAAAGAATATGAACAAGACATCGAGAAATATAAGGACGCGATTGCTGTGTCGAGTGAATGTGCTGATCGTGATGGAGATGCTACTGCTGGCAGCAAACCTAGGCCTAGCCCTGTAATGGCCCTGTTCGAGGATGGAAAACCTTTAACATTAGCTTGCAGTAAATATGAAAATCATGTTCAAGCAGGACTATGTTTAGTTCTTCTGAACCAACTAAATGCAACATGCAATAGTGAAAAATATAACACAACAATGAAGGATTTGTTTACAGTTTTAAAATTTAAGGGTTCGTTTGGAAAAGATACTGAATCCAAAATATGCGATTCAGCATTTAAAGACCCTGTTTTCCAGTCCATTGACCCTCATTCATCTTGTGAGATATGTGATGTTGGTTTACCTGTTCGTGTAGCTTGTATAATGTTGTGGCAAATGAATATTGCCTCAGGAACAACATCACCATCATCAGCAGGTGGGTATGATACTATGATAATGTATTATTAATGATTGGAGGGGTCCTACTAAACACCACATAGACCGGAAGAGCACGGCAACACATGGGACCACACGAATGGAAAAATTATTAAAATATTACCACATGAGAATAGAATACTGTACAGTACTGCTTAATCAATAAATAAATAATTGTCCATATTCCGTTAAAAATTGATGTATGTTATAGTTTCCCCGCTGTATTTCAGAAAGTAAATGCGTTGACATTGTGTATCCATGAATTACCGTATCTATAACGCCTTGATGTGTCAGCAGAAACGCATTCAACCATGACCTTTCAAATTGAATTCATGGTCGGTGTTTCATATCATAGAGAGACTACGGTATTCTAAAAAATAATAAAATAAAATACTGTAGGCCTATTGATGAAAGCCAATCAACCTACTGTAAGAATTCTATATAATAAAGAAAAAAATACATTTTGAATATTTAAATTTTAGTAGGCAATATTTGTATTAATGTTTAGACAGTTAGGTTTTCTGTCAATTTTAAATATAAAACTATGTTAAGAAAATTAAGTTAAGAATTCATTTATTGCTCGTATATTTGTTGGTTGTTAAAAAAATTATTTTAGTGTAGGCTACAACAATGGAAAAAAGAAGATTGCATTATTATGTGAAATACTTTAGATTGAAATTGAATAGATTCAGACCAACCCAATTTATTGAAGTAAATAATAGTTTCTATTGGGTTACCAGTAGAATATTTGCCATTTTTTCAATTTATTATTTACAATTCTTAATTTCATTAGCTTTCATGTGGTATTATCTTGAATATTTTAGAATAAACCCCTGGATGAAATGTAACATAGTTTAGCCTATTATATAAAGATCAGGGTTGAAAGCATTTCTGCAGACGTAAATGTGTTAGATACTCGATTTCAACACCTTAACTTCTGAAGCGGTGAAACCTGCAACAAAACTCACTGATTTTAACCATAATTCGGACAACTGTCGATATAAATGTTTGTTTTTATTGATTTATTAAGCCGTTTTCTACTCTTGTGTCTTAATATTAATATTTTAATGATTTTTGCATCTGTGTGATCGTGCGTGTTTCTGTGTGTCCCGTGTGGTTCTGTGTGGTGTTTGCAGTATTAGTAAGACTGTTGATCGGTTTCCTTCAGAATCAACCTGTTTTTGTTTCTATTTTCCAGTGCCTACTGTAGGCCTACAGGTAATCCATGAACAGATAAAAACTTAGGCCTGCAGCCTAATGTAAGTCTGCTACACAAGCAGGAACTTAAAGAAAGTACTGTACAACCAACCATATTCTGTACCACTCGGACTAGGCCTTTTGTTTTTTTGGCAGCGGATACAGTACTGTACATTGACTTTTCATGAAAAATTGCTAGGAATATTATAGATACGTAGAATAGTAACCAAGGCATGTACAATGGATCTTGGTGGTATATGATACTCTAATTAGATAACTATAATACATACAGCACTCCAAGTATCGAAATGCATGCCATCGTGTCAGGATTCAATATTATGACATTAATTATGTCATCATGATGACATAATTATTATCGAAATATTGAATCCCGACACGATGATGTGCATTTCGATACTTGGAGTATGTATTATACTATCTTATTTGAGATTAATCAGTGGACCTATCGGTTTTTCGAAAACGCCGTCCTAATTTTACTGCAGAATTTGCATAGAAATTGACCTAATTTGTGAAGTGTGCAGCCAGATTTCTAGGCCCAAAAAAAAAGCAGGCCTTACATTGTTTCAAACAAAAGAAAATCTGCAAATTTCTGTTTTCTATTCTATGGCTTCAATTTACAATATATATAATATATTAGATATAAGAATGAAGACTAACACATTTAACTTTTAAGTTTAGATAATTGAAATTAATTATTTAAAAATGCATTTGACCTGAAGACCCTCATATGACATTTTGTTGCTCTACTAACTGAACTTTGAGGCCAAGGTTGTTATTGCACTCATTTGAATTTTTCCCTTTGTATATTTTTTCTCAAGCTATTGCATAATATTGTATGCAATGTACTTTTGATAAATCACATGATGTATTATTAACTACAGTTACAGTTATTCATCATTGAACCATAAATATTCATAAATATTATTATAATAGAAAGAAGACCAAATTAAAAATCAAGTTTGATGTCACATCTCATTGTTTCTTTGTTGTTTTTTTTTTATCCACCTGTTTTTGAGGACAGTACAACAACTTTAAAATGTGTGTGTACCTGTATACTGCTCTTGTGCAGATACAGTATACTCTATACTGTGGAAATGAAATTCCTGTGTAAATTAGAATGTGTTAAAGTTCTCTTCAGTTTGTTTCATTTGACAGGCATGCCAAGTACAGTGTGTTGACATTATGACCAACTGCTGGTGGCACTCTGTCCGATAATAAGAGTAATTTGGACCTACTGTAGTCCTGCAGTATATTCATGCTCTTATCATGAACCTATTTTTTGTATGAGATAACACCAAGAAATGCTGCCAAAACATATTGTGAGCACCATTAGTATAATAGTAGGCCTATGTTTAGGATGGATCAATTGACCTAGTTAAGCCAAGGTAACCTATTTAGGCCAATATAACCCAGATAGGCCAAGATAAACTGTGTGCTTGTGGTTTAGCCATCTAACAGACTTAAATGATCAGAAAAGAGAGGGAAAAAGGAGTGGAGGTGGGAAGGGGCGAAGCTCATCTTTTTTTTTTTTTTCAAAATACCTGGACAAGATTTCTTGCGTACTTATAACCTTTGCACTACACTGACCTGGCTTACTGATGCCGACTTTTATAAATGTCATTGTTTAAGGTACGTGTCACATAAGAAACTTTTCTTTTCTTTCCACAGAAACCAATGTTACTTCTGCAGCAAACACAGGCACTGTGAGTGGAAGTCCAAAGAATCAGAATCCAGAGACAGTTGCTGGCAGTTCTGCTACTACTACTAAAGATAAAACTGATGATGCTAATATTGAACAGAAGGGTGATACAACTGGTGAAGGATATGTTATTGAAACTCATGATGATACTAAAACTATTACTGGTGAAGACAAAGAAGAACCTGACAGTAAGTCAACACCTCCTGAAGAGAATGCTGATGCCAATAAATTTACATCTCCTGAAGAGAAGACTGATGAAAAAGATTATAGTGATGATGCTACTAAAAGACAAGGCATTCCTTCACCTCCTGAGAGTTCTCCTGTTGTCCATGATCAAGATAAAACTGATAATGGTGACCAAGAGAAGATTCCTGATGATATTAGAACTGGTACTGGAGATGGAGGAGAAGCTGGAAGTAAGATCACACCTCCTGAAGTTCCTGACAAGAGCACTGATGGAAAAAATGATGATAATGATGGTACTACTAAAAGAATAGGAGATCAAGATTTTACTAATACTGCTGGCAAATCTACTGAAAAAGAGAGCAAATCCGAGAGCTTTGATACATCTTCCCTGATAACATCTCCTCTTTGTCAAAGTGGTCCAATGCTTGACTTTTACAAAGACGGTAATATCCAGGAGGTTAGTCCATTTAACACGGCATGTCAATCTACTACTACTGACCCTGCTTCTATAGAAGTCTGCAAGTCGGCCATGGATTCTTTACAGGAGTTTTGTTTACACAATGATAAATACAGTAGCGTGGCAACTGCTGTAGGCAACTGGATTACATTTGACCCAACCCAGCCTGTAAAAGATGAGGAAGGTCTCTGTCAAACTGCCTTTCAGAGTATTCCTGGCAATAAACCTGATTGCAAGGTGTGTAGTACTCAAAGTGTGATGCGTCCGGTTTGTTACATGCTGTATCATTTGAATTACTATATGCCGCGTGCAACAGCCAGTGGTAAGAATTTAATGATTCATTTCTATCTATCATATATGTTACCCATAAGTCTCTGATGTAGTTATGTTTGTATTACATTACTGATTGTAATTATCACATAAAAAAATGAATCGTATTCGATGCTAAGCCTATGCTGCTTCATGTGGAGGATTCCAAGTCCTATTTTAGTGAATCAGCTGACTGTTCTCAGCTGTCATGTTTCGTGTTGAAACCCTAGCTACTGTAAGGCTGCATTCACCGTGTTTCCAATGCGCTGAACGCCAGTGTCCCTATTCTTACACACTGATTTGATTTTCTGATCAGTTGCGTTAGGCCTTCCGATCCAAAAATTGGATTTGGTGTAAGTGATAATACACCTTCAGTCAAGACCAGTTTCCGAGTAGTAAGGCAGAGAAGCCACTATCTGCAGCCTTAGCTTCAGCACTAGTTTGAGACTAGCCTTGCCAGAAGCCCTTTATTATTATCTTTTTCTCATTCTGGGCAGCACCACCAACTAGTAAGGTAATTTAGATTAGAGACAGAATAAGAGACTTGTAAAACGCTAAATGCAGGTACCCTGATGCCAAAAGAATGACTTAATCTTTTATTCTATATTTGGGCTGACTCAAATAGAATGATATCAACCAATCATAATGCTCTCATTTTCTGAGCCACGAATATACTGAGTCACTTGCGTTGACTAGTTAGGCCTGGCTAAAAATAGGGCTGTACCTCTCTAATAAAACAGACCTAACATCTATAGAATAGACCCTACTAAGCAGTGACAACAGTGAACCTAGCCTAGATGGCCCATATTAGTATTTAAAAACACAACACCACTTTCCAGGATGGCCCACTCACCAGGTGAAAATTGATTTTTGTTTTTTGTCTGGTTAAGAGTTAATAACATAAATTATTATTTTAAGTTTTTTCATTTAAATTTCTTTTTTATACCCTACCAAAAAGGTAATCCTGATAAAAATGGTGATGAAGTGAAGAGTGAAAATAATGCATTACCAAATAATGAGGGGGACAACAACGAAGGAGGCGCAACTGATGAAGGAGCTAGAGGAGGCGCAATTAATCCTGAAGTAACGCACAATGATAAGAACGGTGATAAAGTGGAGGGTGAAGGAAATACAATGCCAAAAAATGAGGGGGACAACAATGGAGAAGGCGCAACTGATGAAGAAGCTGAAGGAGGCACAAGACATGTGGAAAATGGTAAAGAGGATGATACATCACCAAAAATGATAGTGGTGCATCATTTTAAGAATCAGAGGCAGATCCAGAATTTTTCAAACGGGATGGGGGGTGGGGAAGGGGAGCACACAGAATAGATAATTGAGGAGCTCTAATTTCAATATATCTACTGATGTTTTAAAATTTAGTGGCAAAAGTGGGGTCGGGGTGGATGGAACGTGCCCATGTGCGCCCTACTGGATCCGCGCTTGGGAATGATGTATCACTGAGTGCCAACTAACAATTTACTTAACTATGCAAAAAAATAAAAAATTTTACCCATCTATGCAGACGTATTTCCTTTTTTATAACAAAATATTTAAAAATTTGTCTGTCATGAACTAAAAAATAAAATTGGAAAAATCCAATTCCTTGTTTGAATTGCCTAATTTGTATATTAAGTAAGTTCAGTGTACAAATTAGTCAATTCAGATGTATTAATATTAGATCACTTTCATTTCAAATATCAAAAATATATACCAATATAAAAATATAAAATATGTATAAATTGTGATTTCGAAAAATAAAAGGAAACATATAAATACTCCCTAGACAAGTGGCAAAGTATATTCAAAGGAATAACACGCGCAAGGGAGGGGCAGAGCCCAAACATTGACAAAAACAAAATGGACAAGAAGACAAAGAACAAAGGAAGACAGACAAAATAAGTCACCAAAAATTTGCATATTTAGCCTCTGAGGATTCCCGCTGCATTACAATATTAAGCCAGAAATGGAAAGTCCAGTGAAGGTTTTGAAAAAATTAAGAATATGATGGAGGGTCTCTCGGTTCCCACAGGAAAGGCATTTATCTGAAATCCTTTTCCCCCACCTGGCAAGGTTAACCTGAGTTTTGAGGGTATCTTCGACGGCGTTGAAGAGAAATTTAAGAATGCCAAGTGGGAGTTTGTAGCAGTGGGGATCGGTGGTTAGGTGAGGGGGGCTAACTCGCAAAATAATGTGATTTGATGTGATTTTTAACTATTTGAGCATGATTTGTGGGCGGTGGATGGGCGAGTATTTTTATCAGGGGGAGGGGCGTGCGCAACCCTCGCACATCCTAGGTATGCCAATACATAGGATGCCCTGCAATTTACCCTATGGTCCGCCACTGATTAAGAAGTTACTTTTCTTGTTTTGGTCACTGATACTGGTTTCTTCATGGTAAGCCCTATATTCGATCCTTTGAAATGTGCTATTCAAAATGTTAATAGAATTTTTGAGGTTTTTTTCATTTAATTATTTTTTTTTTTTTTAATGAAGAAATACCTGGCCAAGAAACGAATGAGTATGTTGGTGATGAACAGGTGGGAGGCCAATACGAAGAAGGCAAATTTGATAAAGGAACTGGAGGAAGCACAACAAGTGATGAAAAAGATAAAGTGGATGTAAAACCACCAGAAGATGATGGCTCATTCATACCGTTTAATGATTATGGAAATGATCAAGATGGAGAATCCTCAATTATGGACGAAGGGAAAACATTCCAAAAGGAAGCCAGTGATAATGACCACAAGGTTTGCTTAGAATTTGTTTGTATTTTTAAGGTTTTTTGTTAATTTTATTAGAGAATACCTGATAGCATTTTTACAAGGTACATTCTAGCAGCCACTGAACATTTAGAGTCTGTCAGTGGAGTTGAATTATCTTTAGTGGTTAAGATGCTTGCCTTCTAATCCCAGGGTCCTGGGTTCAATTCATGGGACTGCAGGACTTTTTCTCACAACTAAGATCAACTCCACTCCCTAAGCCCCATTCGTTGTTAAAAGAATCATATTATTTCATTTATTTAAGAGCTGGGTATCAGTCGACCATCTAGGATATGCTGGAAGGGTCACCCTCTATAAATATGGTTTTTTAAAAAAACTAAAATTTAAAAAATTAAATATACTGTGAGTGTGTTAAATATAATTGAATTGTATGTTATATTGCTTGTTAGACTATTGTCTTTGTACAGTATTACGGCTTCTCTACTAAAGTTTACAATACTGCCACTAACTTAAATTAAACATTTAGCGACAGTACGCTGCTTTTGGGATGCCAAGTCTCTATTATTATATTAATAAACAGTAACTATCTTTAATAAACTAATAATGATAAGTTAATAATAAGATAATTTTTTTTATTCATAGGAAGAAGAAATTGAAATCGAAATTACAGGGGATGAACAACAAAACCCCATGAAGGAGGAGACATTGAACAAAAACACATACAACGTGTATAAGAATCGCAATTTTGCAGAAGAGGAATCATCAAGCCATTTCTTAGCCTTTTCTCTAACGGCTATTATCCTTATCCTAGCCACATACATTGCATATCACAACAAACACAAAGTAAGTAAATGCATAGTACACTACCTTCACCCCGTTTGAATAAGCGCCCCTCGATTCCTAAAACAATTCAGTCATACAGTACAGTACATCACCAACTACAGTATTTAATATCTAAAAAATTAAATACTGTATGACCATTTTCAGTCAACAAAAATAAACTGACCTCATCATGCTCGTATCTGAGCAAGAACCCCTGCAATGATCCTGCTAATCTGAATTGGCAGATGGCCAACACGCTTAACAACACCACCACTAATTTCATCTACTGTTGTGTAAATACCTCCAACATTCTTGTCATTAACCATGCTCTCTCGACGATTTTCTTTTCTTCACCAAAATTATTCATTTATCTTTGATTAAAAGTGCCCCTTGAATTTTCCAATTTCCCATAAGCACCCCTTCAATTTTCATCTATTTCCATAAGCGCCCCCTCAATTTCCACTCTGTTGTCATAAGCGCCCCATTTGAATAAGCGGCTGTTTGAATAATTGCGCCTCAAAAATAGCCAAAATTAGTTTCAGAGCCCGGGCGCTTATTCGCGTGAGTATGGAATGCTGGAAAAGGTAAAGAAATGGCTCGCCTAACTTGCTGTTTTGTGGCAGCAACCATTTTTTTTTTTTTTTTTTTTGGGGTTCCTATGCTGTGAAGTAATAGTAACCCTTGAATCCTTCTCTCCACAATGACACGTGGAGAGCCAGTTTTCTGTTGTTTTACTCGGTTTCAATAAAATTTTTAAACACTCTTTTGAATCTCAGTATGTCGACTGTTTTAATTGAATTTTTGAGGGCGTTTTCGAACTTGTTATTTTTCTTTGCCGATTCATGTTTCTCCGGTAATTTTTCAGATAATTGCTGTCATCATCGAAGGCCGCAGTGGAAGAAACGGCGGAAGACGAGGGGGCTCTTACCGTCGACTTAACCAGAATGTGAGTGATGCCATGCCTACACTCAAAGCTTAGGTAACAATGCATCATACTAGTCTCAGATTGGAGGGGTTAAAGGTTAAATTTTATTCATCATATAAATAAAACTTGACAAATATATTGGAAGCGTTACAAATTTTATTTGACAAAAAAACATGTGATATGCCTAAATAGGGGCATGATAACATCACATCATGACCATATATAGGCACATCATGACTATATATGGGCATAAAATGGTTTTTTGTCAAAGAAAGTTTGATAGTCTGGAAAGAGCTTTAGGCCCTGTCCACCAGTCTCAAATTTTATTTTACAAAAACATGTGACGTGCCTAAATATGGACATGATACCATCACATCATGACCATATATAGGCACAACATGACTGTATATGGGCATAAAACAATTTTTTGTCGAAGAAAATTTGATGAGCTGGACAGGGTCTTAGTTTTTACAAGAATGGTCTTAGTTTATACAAGAATGGCCTTCACACTGATACAGTGGACACCTGTAAATGTACCTACTAATTTGGCTTTCTGGGAACTTGCATAATCTTGGTTCTCTGTATTATGTTTTATTCCTCAAGCAAAACGTCAAATAAAATGGCATCATCAATTTTTGTAGTGCACATCCTAATAGCTGCAAGTGTCCCATCGAACATTTTTGCCATGTGTGAAACAGGGTTTAAACATGTCAATTTTAAGGACAGCTGTGTGAATTCTAACTGTTGGTCGCTAAATCCTTAAAAATATGTTTTTTTTTTGTTTTTGTTTTTTTAGGTGTCATCATAACTTAGTTTCAAAGGGAGAAGTATGAGCAAGCAATAACGAAAAGTGAATTTTTACTTTTGCAACCAGTAGAAATAGTTCAAGTACCACCAGGTTCTGTTTATTATTATAAATATTTTAAAAAGAGCTTTCATTAAGACCAGCTCAGGCAACATCGTGTGATGTAGCGTGACAAGATTTATCTTCAGGGACAGTATTTAAGTCATCGTGAGAATATTAACATGTTTAATATTCTACGACTCAACTTTGACCTGATGCAGACCTTTCACGTCTGCGTTCAACTTCACATTGACCAGATGTGACAACAAAACACATCAGGCTGCGTCATTATTACGCTGTCTATGTTGGTCTTTATGTGAAAGTTAACTTTTATTTTCGTTTCCTGTAATCTAAATTGTATACATAGTGTTTGATGTTTTGTGTTTTTACAGCCTAGTATAAGCTATCAGGCGCAATGAATGACTTAAAGAAAGTCCTGTCCAGAATACAAAATGTTATTTGACAAAAAAAAATCTCTCGCAAACTAACAACTTCTCACAAACGAATACACACCTCTCACAAACTAAACATACCACGAATCAGAATGTTGAAAAGTTTTTGCTACTTGAAAAAGATCTCGCAAACTAACACATCTCTCGCAAACTAACACTTCTCTCACAAACTAATACACCTCTCGCAAACTAAACACACCACACATTTAGAATGTTCAAAAGTTTTTACTACTTTGTTATTGTCTCCGATGAAGTCAGCTAGGGTAAAACTGCATTCTTCAGAAACAAAAATATGTGGCAAAGACAAGCCAAACCAGTCACTCGTCGCAAATCCTGTTTCAGAGATAATGGCCAATACATGCTGGAATGTAAACATTTTTGAAATCTATTTTATTGCTTTAAGCTAACCTTTATCTATATATCATGCTATGCTGTTGTTTTCCCCATTTTCATTTGGTGATAGTTTCTGCCTGAGAAATGCCTGAAATCATAAACTTTGAAGGCTGATTTCTAAAATATTATTCCTTAAACAGCTGTATGTTTAAACTCCTGTAACTTCATAACGTCAGATTTAAATGATTCTTTTACCATTTTATATCTCTAATTTTACTTTTTAACCCCTTATTAAGTAACTAAAATGGCTTGTTTTTACCACATATGATGTGTTTAAAAAGCTCTTACTGTTAAAATTGATAATGCTAGCCCCTTGTGGAAATATGAAGGGCTGAATAAAAATAGGATAGTGATTACTAAGCTGAGCTTTTATTAGTACAGTGATTTAATCATTGCAAAAAAGAAAAATCAGGATTTTCTTGTAACCAAAGACAACAAGACGTTTGGAAATATAGAGCATGGATATTATAATTTCAAAGAGCCTATATATTATTACATCAAGGGTCCCTAATACTTAGCTTTGCTTTGTTATTCATCTTCATTAAATATATAGTAGTGGTAAAAATATATTTGAGAAATAAAAGAAAATTGAAAATTATATTCCTATTTAAGTCTGAGATTGCCAGTTCTGGCCACCTAGAGATTGTTTTTAATGAAATGAAGGTCTTTGTGTAATAAGTTCCCTTTCAGACCTCTAGCTGATATAAATGGAGAGTAGTGATAGAGTTGATCACATATCCCATTGAGGTTTCAACACCGATTTCTTTGTTTCCCTTTTCGGTATCTCTTGTTTACACCATACACAAGGTAAAGCCCTGCCATGTGACATACCTAAATATGGTCATGATGGGGGCATATAACAGTTTTTTGGAACAGAAAATTTGAGAGTGTGAACGGTGCTTGGAATATGCCTTATGCATATTCATGTATCCTTGTATTCCTGCGATTGGGCCATACATCCAATTTGTTGTTTTCAACTGCAGGTCATAATGCTTACCTAGAATGCAAACATTATTAACACGATTGTGTACATTATCTTTTTTTTTTTTTAACTTCACAGTACTTTAGTAGTTTTTAATTGGCCACACTAATTAGTATATATTTTTTCTTTTTATAATAGAATTCACCAAAGAATTTGTAGTAT